GGCGACTTGTCCCTTTGTTAGGTCTGCCACGATTACACATGTATCCAGGTGCTGCATTGTTGCCGTGTTGTAAGGGTAATTACTAGTGCAGTCGAGTTTCCTTTTAGCCACTAGGCCCTTTACATGGGTCACAGGGCGACCTGCGCACGAAGACCGGCGAAAGCAAGTCTACAAATTGAGTTTTGGGAACACCATGTGGGTGCTAGTCATATTTTGGGACTGTGACATTTGACTAGTGGCGGGCTTCTTTGAGACGTTAGGACGACGAGCTTCAAAGAGCCTGCAAAAGCCTGCGACGCATAACTCTTGGTCGTGAGGTCCGGTTGGTTTCTCGCAACTTGAGCTGTGAGTGGCCGGTTGCTTAGTCAATCAGCGTGAGCATTGGAACCCTGCATGCCAGAGCTTTTTATTTTTTTATTTTTCTATTTATTTTCAGACACCTCTATTCTGCAGCATGCTTCAACTCGAATGCCTTGCTATTCGGGAGGCAGGGGAAATGCGCTATTCGGATGGCATCAGCCCAAGCAGGTATTTTGCTGCCCCAAGAGCAAAACTTTGGCCATGGCGGTCTCGGTCGCCTGGGCAGTTGGTGCAACTTGGCTATTGCATGACCGAGCACCATAACAAGGAAAATGTCCCGAAATGTCGGTCTCATAAGCTGGGATAGTCTCGAGAAGAGTAGATGGCGATCACGACTGCTTTCCGCAATTACATCTTACCCACGTAATAAATGCAGAATGGCTCATGTCATGGTTCATCTTGTGGAAGAATAGAAGCGAAGAAGAACCATAAAGACTGAGATATGTCCCTATCATTCAGTCCTACGCTTCCCTGGCCAGAATCTCTTCTTCTTCAATCCCACTTGGAAATTGAGTGGCCATAGCACAGGATTGAAAACCAATACGCAAAAGAAAAGGTCTTGTACCGAAAAAATAACAACAAGGAAAATGAAGCCGAGTCTCGCCTTTCGCGCTGTTTATTTCGCCGGCACAGCCTGTCTACCTTAAGTAGGTATTTACTTTGGTAGGTAGGTCGGTAGTTGATTAAATTGATACTTAAATTATGACTTGTGGGTTAGAGTTTGAGTGAGAGCTTCAAACTGCACGCAAACTACGGAGACGTGGAGGCGTGATTAGTCATGCTTAGCTGCGTCGTGCCTGCCAAGCTAGTGTCTGGCCGCCCCCCCCCGCATTGCGCATGTGCGCCGCCGACTTGGACTTTGCCCACTCTAGCGCTGCTCCAAAAAAGTTTGGGGCTCATTGTCCCCTGCCAGGCTCGAGCAGCTTCTACCAGTCGACGTGTCCTTAACCACCCTAGGCCCTGCCAGCTCCAACTTTGCTGTCCTTAAGTAAACCTCTTCACGAACCACTTGATCTTCACTCATCTCACCTCTCTTCCGATTCTTCAACTTCCTCTTGGAATCCTAAGCCACTCCTCGAGCCTTGGCATTGGCATCAATTGGCACTTTCTGGAGCTTGTCTTCCTGCCTTGCCTTTATTCTGAACTGACTTGCGCTGTGCGCTCTTGGTCCTAGTCTCTGCATTCCCCCGACCCGTTGGTCGATTTCTGTCGATACCATGAAGTTCAACGCTGCTGCTGTGGCTGTCTCTGCCGCCATCCTGGCTGGCACTGCTCACGCTGACAAGCCTGAGGAGTCTCCTGTTGTTCCTGAACTTCCCACCTTCACTGTAAGCAAAGAAAGAACAAAACTCCCTCCCCGGCTTTGCCCTTGAACGCATTCGCCTCGATTGCCATCAGATCAGGTGCAGCCCACCTCGGTGCTTGTAACCCATGTGGACACTTGTTCAACTGGCCAAGACCGGCCAGCTCATCCGAACATCTAGAAGCTAACTACCTGCTTTGCTAGCCTACCACCTTGAAAGCTCCCTTCCTCGAGCAGTTCACCGATGACTGGGAGAAGCGATGGAAGCCTTCTCATGCCAAGAAGGACATGAAGGGTTCTGCCAATGAGGAGGAGGAATGGGCCTTTGTCGGCGAGTGGGCTGTCGAGGAGCCTTACCAGTACAAGGGCATGGATGGCGATAAAGGCCTTGTTGTCAAGAATCCGGCTGCCCACCACGCCATCTCTGCCAAATTCCCCAAGAAGATTGACAACAAGGGTAAGACTCTTGTCGTTCAGTACGAGGTCAAGCTTCAAAAGGGCCTTGAATGTGGCGGCGCCTACATGAAGTTGCTCCGCGACAACAAGGCTCTTCATCAGGAGGAGTTTAGCAACACGACCCCCTACGTCATCATGTTTGGTCCCGATAAGTGTGGCCACACCAACAAGGTCCACTTCATCTTCAACCACAAGAACCCCAAGACTGGCGAGTACGAGGAGAAGCACCTGTCGTCTCCCCCTACCGCCAAGATCGTCAAGACTACCGAGCTGTACACTTTGATTGTGCACCCCAACAACACCTATGCTATCAAGCAGAATGGTGAGGAGGTCAAGTCTGGTTCTCTCCTCGAGGACTTCACTCCCGCCATCAACCCCCCCGCCGAGATCGACGACCCCAAGGACTCCAAACCCGACACCTGGGTTGACGAGGCACGTATCCCTGATCCTGAGGCTAAGAAGCCTGAGGACTGGGACGAGGACGCCCCCTTTGAGATTGTTGACGAGGAGGCCACCATTCCCGAGGACTGGCTTGAGAAGGAGCCCACCACCATCCCCGACCCTGAGGCCCAGAAACCCGAGGACTGGGATGACGAAGAGGACGGCGACTGGATCGCTCCCACTGTCCCTAACCCCAAGTGTGCCGATGTCTCTGGTTGTGGCCCTTGGACCAAACCCATGAAGAAGAACCCCGACTACAAGGGCAAGTGGACTGCCCCCTTCATTGACAATCCTGCCTACAAGGGGCCTTGGGCTCCTCGCAAGATCAAGAACCCTGCCTTCTTCGAGGACAAGACCCCCGCCAACTTTGAACCCATTGGCGCTGTAAGTAATCCCAAGCGGCATTCGATATATCAAAGAGAGTACTTGCTAAACTTGCCTTTAGATTGGCTTTGAGATCTGGACCATGCAACCCGATATCCTCTTCAACAACATCTACATTGGCCACTCCATTGAGGACGCCGAGAAGCTAGCTGCCGAGACTTTCAAACTCAAGCACCCCGTTGAGAAGGCTCTGGCTGAGGCTGACAAGCCCAAGGAGGAAGACAAGCCCAAGTCTCCCTCTGATCTCAAGTTCCTCGACGGCCCTGTCCACTACATCAAGGAGAAGCTCGATCTCTTCCTCACTATTGCCAAGAATGATCCTGTTGAGGCCATCAAGTTTGTTCCCGAGGTTGCTGGTGGTATTGGTGCCATTATCGTGACTCTTGCTGCCATTGTCGTTGGTCTCATTGGCCTTGGCGGATCCTCTCCCGCTGTCAAGGACACTGCAGCCGCTGCCAAGGACAAGGCCAAGGAGGCCAAGGACAAGGTTGCTCAGGCTACTGCTACTGGTGCCGAGAAGGCTAAGGGAGAGGCCAGCAAGCGAGCCACTCGCAGCCAGTCGTAAGCTGATTGCTAAGATGAGGGAAGAAAGGAGAGGGGATGAATGGAATGCGAAAGGGAAAGGGAAAGGGGATGAATGAATTCTGGACAAACACAAACCTGGAGCCCTGGCGTCTTGATGGACCGAGAATTTCAGAACAGTATGCGACAGATTTGGAGCAAGAAAAGAAAGGTTCAAAAGAAAGCTTTGCTAATTGCTATTTGCTGTTTTTTCTCCGAAATGCTTTGATTTTTAATTTAGTCGGCCTTGTCTCCCACGTTTTCACGAAACCTAGGAGCGATGACGGACTGTAGGACATGGCGAGCGTGTATTTAGATGGGGAGGTTTCCGGCCTTGGGCGGACCCTGCCATGTCTGCCATGTACAACAAATAGGCGACATGAATGTGATTAAATGTTTAAAAGCGCCTGTTGGGTTGCATGGATTGCTTGGCTTTGGAAAGTGAAACCTGGTAGTTTGGAAGAGCATGTTCGGAAAGCTTTCCGATGCCGATGATGGGCAGAGTGGAGTGCAGTAACTACTTGGTAGGAGGTTCAATACTTGGTGGCTCACGTATGTATGGTATTTTGCTGTTCGAGCATATATGGCAATGTCCACGTCGCAAGCAGTGCTCGGCCCGGGTGCGGCGGACTCCCTCCGGAGTAGTAGCAATTAACTTATTAGCTACCGCCTACCGCGTGTACTCTGTACGGAGTACTATTATTGCGCCCAACTCACAGCATATGTGTAGGTACATAGACCACGACAGGGCGGTACTCCGTATCCGGAGAGCAGAGACCACCATGGATGGGCGATTGATGATGTCCTGGCTCCGCAAGTCGGAGGTCGGGGGGAAAGGTCGGCAATGGCGGAATTGGGCGGCACGGGTGAATGGACCGGCCGTCTGTGTCCCACGATGAGTGTCGGACTGCATGCAATATGCAGTTCGAGTGGTTTGGCCATCCAATGCTTAGACGCCCTCTCAGCCTCGCGACGGGGCAAAGTGGACGGCGACGAGTCTGTTTCCCCCGAGGGCTGGGGTTGCTGGGATGGTTGGGATCGCTGGGATCGCGGGGGGTTGCTCTGGTGGCACCGTGCCACCTTGCAGACAGCTTTATTTACTAGTCTGGAACAGCCAAAACCGGTCCCTGGTGCCCTCGAGAACTTACTTCGTAACAGATACTCATATTACCGAGTAAGCAGTGCTTGGCTTGGTCGGGAGTGCGGAGCTCTGGTTCCTAGACTGACCAGTTGACGACTCAAACACCGTGCCACCCCCGGCATAAGAGCTCAAGGCCCCCCTCCCCACATCCGCGCGTAGCCGCTCTGTTAAGAAGGCGGCACCAGAACTGTCTCTCCGAGAAAGGAAGCCTGTGTGTGAAATTCCGTAACCACCACCGTACGTTGCCTCTTCCTTTTTCCCCCTTGCCCTCTTCTTCTCCCAGCCTGCTTGTCATCACCAGCAGTGCCTTGGATCCCCTCATAATTTCTACCTTCCCTCCCGGTGTCACCAACCATGCGGCGGCTCATCTCACGAAGCGTCTCTGCCAGCGCCACCCGGTCCCCGGTGACCTCAGCCGTACCCCGATCTGCCATCGCCACCTCCAAGATGGTTTCCAACGGCTCGTCTTCCTCGGCCGTGGCCGCGAGAAGAATACATGCGACTGCCCATCAGCTCAAGCCCACGGCTGCTCTGGCCTCTACGGCCACCAGCTATCCCAACACCCACGAGAAGATCCAGGCCGTCGCGGACACGCCGTACTTTATCGACAACAAGTTTGTCAACTCGACAACCGACAAGTTCATTGACCTGCCTGACCCGGCCACGAACAACCTCGTTACTCGCGTCCCCCAGATGACCGAGGAGGAGATGAAGGCTGCTGTGGCTAGCGCCGAGAAGGCCTTCAAGTCCTGGAAGAACACGACCGTCCTGGCTCGCCAGCAAATCATGTTCCGATTTGTACAGCTAATTCGCGAGAACTGGGACAGACTGGCTGCCAGCATCACCTTGGAGCAGGGCAAGACCTTTGCCGATGCCAAGGGTGATGTTTTGCGTGGTCTGCAAGTCGCTGAGGCGGCCATCGCCGCGCCAGAGCTGCTCAAGGGTGAGGTCCTGGAGGTGTCCAAGGATATGGAAACTCGCACTTATCGGGAGCCATTGGGCGTTGTGGCTGCCATTTGCCCCTTTAGTAAGTTCCGGCCAACAGAATTGGTTTTGCTTGGGTGTGTGGACCTGACAGCTGACCTGTCTTTGTAGACTTTCCTGCCATGATTCCTCTTTGGTGCATCCCCATCGCTACCATTACTGGAAACACAATCATCGTCAAGCCATCTGAGCGTGACCCCGGCGCTGCCATGATCCTCGCTGAGCTGGTCCAGAAGGCTGGCTTCCCCGAAGGTGTGGTCAACGTCATCCACGGCGCCCACAAGACTGTCGACTTCATCCTCGACGAGCCCGCCATCAAGGCCATTAGCTTTGTTGGAGGCAACAAGGCCGGAGAGTACATCTTCAGCCGCGGTTCCGCCAATGGCAAGCGTGTCCAGGCCAACCTGGGCGCCAAGAACCACGCTGCCGTCCTGCCTGACTGCAACAAGAACCACTTTATCAACAGCGTCGTCGGAGCCGCCTTTGGTGCCGCTGGCCAGCGCTGCATGGCCCTCAGCAGCCTAGTCATGGTCGGCGAGACCAAGGAGTGGCTCACTGACATTGCCGAGAGCGCCAAAAAGCTCAAAGTTGATGGAGGCTTTGAGGCCGGTGCTGACCTTGGCCCCGTCATTTCTCCCCACAGCAGAGAGCGCATCCTGAGCCTCATTGACAGCGCCGAGAAGGAGGGCGCCACGATCCTCCTTGACGGACGCAACTACAAGAACCCCAAGTATCCCAATGGCAACTTTATCGGTCCCACACTCATCACCAACGTCACCACTGACATGAAGTGTTACAAGGAGGAGATCTTTGGCCCGGTGCTGGTTTGCCTCAACGTCGACACCATTGACGACGCTATCGACTTGATCAACAAGAACGAGTACGGCAACGGCGTGGCCATCTTCACCCGCTCTGGCCCCACGGCCGAGACGTTCCGCCGAAACATTGAATCGGGCCAGGTTGGTATCAATGTGCCCATCCCTGTGCCGCTGCCCATGTTCTCCTTCACTGGTAACAAGAAGAGCATTGCGGGTGGCGGTGCCAGCACTTTCTATGGAAAGCCGGGTATCAACTTTTACACGCAGTTGAAGACTGTCACGGCGCTGTGGCAGAGCCAAGATGCTGTTGCTAAGAAGGCTTCTGTTCACATGCCTACTTTGCAATGAAGGGGCTGTGTGTGTGAGAGAGAAAGAGAAAGAGAGGCGCTGGAGGCTATGGGAAATTGAAGATGGACGTTGATTTTCTGTTCAAAAATTAGTTCTTACGGGTGCATGTGGTAGGAAATACGGCTTCTGGCCTGGCCTGAGCAAAACATGTCAAGAGAAAATAATAGGGTTCTACATATATTGTCCTCGACAGTGCTTGTGAATAGATGCAGTGTAAACTGAGGCCGCATAAGGCCTTGCCTACAACACGTTGGGTTGGCGTGATTTTTTGGAGGTGACGTGACATGGTTGCTTGAACTTGATGCTTGGGATCCCGGAGGCACATGAACGGATTGGGCATTTCTGCATTAACAAAAGAAAACATACAATACATACTGCTGCCATTGTGAGCAACCAGAAAGGTCATGGACGGCTCTTGGATGAGGGCACCGCTGGCCACCATGCATCCAACCCGGCCTGCCTCCAGCCGGGAATCATTCCCAAAATTGGAAACATGACATTGACTTTCTGTCTTGAATGCGCTTGATCTGAGGGGCTAGAGCGCGGGATTACATGGATGGGCAAGCCGTGCTGAATGACGTGTCTGGTGCTCGATATGCAGATGAGTTGTGACCGACACCTCGTCTGCAAGATGCGAGGACCGCAACACGGGTTGAAAGAGGCCGTCTATTATTAATATGTGGTTGCCATTATCGTCATTCCCTCCGTGTTGGTTCTGTATTTTTTATTTTTTATCTTTTGTTTCTCAACATTTTACACTTTACTTGGCTGTTGCAAAAAGGAAAAAAAACGCCAAAGTCACATGCAATCTACACACACGGCAGGAGGCGCAAACATGTCGTGGATCGCCGTCCCCAGCCGGCTCTACTATAAACTCAGACGCAACACACACGCGGCCCCGAAACCAGCAACCAGACCATCACCATCACCAGCAGCAGTGCAGCCTCGCCGGCCCCCAAACACACGACTATGCCACCCCCCGGCCATGAACCTCGCTCTCCTCCCCTACACGGTGTTTTTCGAAATCGTGTCGCACCTCTCTGCGCCCGAGGCCCTCGCGTCGCGCCGCATCTCGCGTGACGTGCGCTCGGCGCTCGTACGGCCCGACCTGAGCATCAGCCTCATCCTCCTGCACTTCCCGCGGTCGGTCGAGGGCCGCGCCCTCCGCGGGCACCTGCGCGCGGGCCGCCACGGGCCTCTCGAGGAGGAGGACTGGGCGGCCGTCTTTGCGACGCTGGCACGGCGATACCACCACCTGGGCAGCGCGACGCCCTGGAGGGTCGACAAGGTGCGTGTCGCGGGGGGCCCTGGGCTCAGGGGCGTCACGCCGTGGAACAGGTTCCTGAGGCTGGACGACAAGACGGCCGCCTTTGACTACTGGGACCCCGTGTGGACGTTTGCGCCGCGGCAGGGCGTCCTGGTGTATCCCGCCGCCGCCGCTGCTGGCGCCGCGACCGTCGTGTACAGGGCGAGGGACCTGGCGAGCGGCGACGAGGCCGAGGTGCCATTCGACGCGGGCGGCAAGGTCGTCCGGAGGGTGCGCCTGAGCCACGGCATCCTGGTGGTCGAGTGGTGCGAGGAGGAGCAGGGACGCGACGAGGCGGACGGCGTCGGGGCCGCCGCGCATCGCCACTTCGCCACGGCTTTTGACGTCGTCCCGGGCTCTTGCGGACGCGGCCGCCGGCGGCGGGTTCAGGTGTCCTTCCGGTCCGAGTGGAAGACGCACTGCCTGGGCCTGCCGCTCTCCCACCAGGACCGCTTCTTCTCGACGCACAACGCGACGCACTACGTCGTCTACATCTGGCAGCCGACGCGGTCGCCGTGGGGCGAGCACGCGCCCCTCGAGCGCCTCGTCGTCTGGGACATCTCCCGCCCGAGTCCCTACCGGCCGTCGCTCGATCCTGCCGGCGGGCTGGCACCCCCCTCCTCCTCCTCCCCCGGGCCGAGAATCATACGGCGCATCGCCAACGACGACCTGTCCGGCTGGGGCGTCCGACAGGCCGACACGCCCCGGCTGCGAGGCCTCGCCCTCGACCGGAACACCTGGGACGCCGACGCGCGCTCGGCCACGGGCCACGTCTTCCTCGTCGAGGAGGAGCACCGCTGGTGCGCGGGCCCGCACAGCAGCGCCACGCCTCCGCGGCAGCACCACCTGCGCACCACGGGGATACCGCTCGTGGGCGACGGGCCGAGGTGGGTAGACGACTGCGGCGGCCGGGGGACGTTCGCCGACCACGGCATGGAGTTTTGCCCCCGCAGCTGCCGGGCCAGCTGCGCCGACGACGGGGTGGACGGGGTGGACGCGGCGGAGGATTCTTCAGCGTGGCCTGGGAGGACGCCGTGCTGGCGCCACGACGACTTCCCGTACCTCACCGTTTCAGAGGCCCACGATGCGCTGGCGGGCGTGAGAATCACGGCCAGACACTGCTTCATGATGGAGACGCTGTCGGTGCACGTCCGGCCGCGGCTGTGCGTCGAGGGGGTCGCGAGGTATCGCAGCGGGGACCGGGCGCACGCCGCCCCGGATGACGACGAGGTGAGGTTCGAGGATGGTTTGTGGTCGCAGCTCATGGGCAAGGGGTGCATTGCTGGTGATGAGCGGTGGGTTGTGGGCGAGGATGAGGCCGGGGACGTGACCATTTTGATGTTTTGACAACCTCTTACCATGACTTATGATGATACCTGGATACACGAATATATGATGATATGAGGGGCCATGAATGCAATGTTTTGCATAAAACTATGAATAGCGTCGGTCGTGAGAGCTTCTTCTCCTTTCTTCTTGTGTGTTGGGTAGCGTGGGTCTGTAAAAATATGATAAACTATACGTGTCCCCCCCCCCGGGAAAATCATACATGGTCGTGCTAACATGAACGAATTCAGATGTGGCAAAGTTTTCCGCTTGTATATGAAATAGTGTAAAATTTACCCACCACTCCTTTTGTTGGGCATATCCTTAGCTTTTAAGTGCTGGGGGAATCTGCAAAAACCCACTGAAGTAGTCATCCAACCACTCGGCCGCCCTCTCGCCCGAATCGTCGTTGCTTGTGTCCCACCGCCCGACAGAGCCGACGTACCCATCTGGGCGGACGTTGACAATGGCTACCTCGCCTGGCTCCAGATTGCCGAGCCACTTGTTCGTGCACAGCGTGCCGCGGGTATCTTGCTCGGGAATGTTGTCGAGGTACAGCGTCCAGCGGCTATCTTGCAGCATGGCTGGGAGATCGTAGATTTCCATTTCCGCCTTGGGCATGGTTGCTGTTTCTTCGTTAGCGATCCCTAAAGGATGATGTATATATGCAGAGGCTAGTGTTGGGGAAATGAGAGACATACTGATTAATGCAAAAGTAAAGAGATGGCTGACTGCGGTATAGCGTTCCGGACGGATGTAAATGTCCTCTGCGGAGCCCTTTCTGGGTTGCTCAGCGTAGGATTTGCTCGCCGCAGCGGAAAGCTGGCTTACAAACGACGAATTCCCAGCAACGGCGTGGCAAAAGGTTGACAGGAAAGGTGCAGCCTGCTGGACATCCCACATGAGGAGGAAGATCCTGAATTGACCCAACATGGGGATGTCGAGCTGGACATCCACGGGGTTCGAGTCAATGTATCGGGTGACTTTCGCTGGAGGCAAGAGACATCCGGGCCGGGCATCACCAGTAGGAATGGCAAAGCTGTCTGTCTCGGTGCGGTTTATAGGGCTGCTGGAATATTCTGCACCGATTCCAGATATAAAGCGCACATTTGCCTTGAAGTTTTTGGCCAGGGCAACCGCATCGCCTCCAGCAATTTGGTTAGCGTGTTCGTAGTCAAAGTTGACCAGGTCGAGTGCTATCTTCCGTCTCTCCTCTTCATAACTTTCAAGCAAGACTGGCTTGGCAAGCCCACGGACGGCCAGGTTAAGCTTCCACGAAAGATTCCACGAGTCGTGCATGGACGTGTTCATACCCTGGGCGGCCTTGGGTGAGTGCGTGTGGCTGGCATCGCCGGCGAGGAACACCCTGGTGTTGGCGTCGGAGAATCGACTGGCTACACGCTGGCCAACCTGATATCGTCCAAACCATTCAATATACTTCCAATCGACGGAGAATGGAGCCATAATCTTTCTGGCTTGTTCCGTGACGAATTGCTGGCCGAGCTGGCGACGGTCCTCGGTGGCCCATGTCTTGAGCTCGATATAAAACCTTGTCATGTTTCTCTCACGGGGGATAATAAGAATAGAACCGTGCTCCTCTGAGTATACTAGTGTTTTTGACCAAATGTCAGGAAAATCTGTGATGAGTTCTCCATCCAAGACTCCCCAGATTGCGGCCTGGGACATTCCGATGGCTGCTACATCGGGAATGCTCTTGCGGACTTTGGAGTGCGCTCCGTCACCTACACTCTTGTCAGCGAAAGATCGCGCTCATGGGCAAATTTGGGAGGGGACATACATCCAACCAAGTATTGTGTAGTATAAGTCTTCTTGTCCTGGGTTACATTCGTGCGGCAATTTACTTGCAACTGGCCGGTCTTGGCAATATTCTCATAAGATTCAAAAGAGGCGTTTCTGCGCACCGTTTTGCCTCTCTTGGCTAGATCTTCAATGAATAGACTCTCTACGATGCCTTGGTGAACCAGTAAAATATACGGATCAATGACATCAATTACGGGTGGGTAATGAATTTCTCGGCCTAGTCTGTGCAGCGGCTGATCTTTCGTGGCTCTCCAGAATGAAATATCATAGACACGGACTCCTCGTTGGAGTAAAGGGTCGGCTAGTCGTAGCTGTCTGAAGGTCTCAATCGTCTTGGGTTGTAAACCGTCCGCCCTGTGCAGCAAAGATGTGAGTTTCTCCATCCATAAGTCATTGCCACTTTCAAATTACCAGCACGACGGGCCATGATATTTCTCTCCCTTACCTTCCTACTGGTGTTTGGTCGGCTCTATCATCAACCACTTCGGCGTGAATGCCGTATCTCGTCAGAGTCGCCGCCATCATCAGGCCGGCCGGGCCTGCACCAATAACACATACTTGACAATCCGACGGCGGCTCGGGGAAGTTTCGTAGCTGGGAGAGGTCGGCAATAGTGGCGTCTTCAGCATCCTCATCTACAGGCTCCATCTGCCGTTCCACCGCAGTTTCAACGTCCATATCGGTGGTTGGGGTCGCATCTGCTGAACGCTGGGGACTGGATAAAATTCCCGGTGCCATGCCTCTGCGGTTGCTTATATTGCGTCTGGCTTGGGAGTTAAAAGGTCCGATTTACAAGTGGAATTGCCCCCAGCTTTTGCTAATGCGACCGTGTCTAATGATCCAGGGGAGTTTTAAGTTTCGAAACGTAGAAGTGTTTGTGAGTCGTCGTCTAGCCGGCACGAGAGTCGCTATTTCTAAGCTGTCTGGAATGATAAAGAAAAGCAAGGTTTGTGAGTCCCCCCCCGCGGCAAGGCACTTGCTAGACTTTTGAGGATTTCAGCTCTCTATTAATACCACCCACGTACGAGATGTGATGTCAAAAGTGGGCGAATAACGATCAACAGTCCGAAACCCACAACTGTTGGGTGGGCCAACCAATACTGGGAAGCGGGAGTCGACTAGTTAACGTGTTACTCCGTTGAGCACGGGCAGATGGTTCCGGAGACAATACAGAGAATAGGTGGTACGATACTCGGTAGACTTGAATCGGTGATCTTGGCGGTCGTCCCAGGAGAAGGAAGAGAATTGCAATCAAGGATGGCAGTGACTGGGCGGTGCCGGAATAAAATATTAGTTACGAGCTTGTGGCAACGCCTGGCTTCCACCTTCCGCTCGACTAGAAGCTTGAATCACGGACTGTCGTCGGTGGCCATGCTTATGCCGTGTTCCTTGTGCCTCTGCCTCTGCCTCTTGCCCCGTAGTCCGTTCTCCGTACCAGTGCTCGGTACCAGTGCCATGGCTTCTCTGGCCGCCATCAAATAAGCTGGTCAGCGGCTCATCGGACAGGCCCGGCAAAAGTCGAGTCGTAGAAGGAAGGGCAGGAGCCTGAGGTCAGTCAAACAGCCAAAGCCCTAGTCGGGCACCAGAGACATCATGGGCCAGGGCGCTGAGGCTGAGGAGGAGGAGGAGCGGAGGCCACGGGCATCATCTGGCACCTGGTCTCAACGTTGCAGCAAAAGTGGCATGACTTGATGGCGTGCTGAGTGAGGTTTGGGAATTTGTGAAGCAAAAATGGGCTGATCTGGCGGACAAAGTCGGTGGGGCTCCCGCCGCTAGCGCCAGAGGGTTTGACTTGGTTCGACTTGGTCCATCTTGAGTGGTTGAATTGACTCATTGGTACGGAGTAGATGGCCAGATGGCCAGATTGGCAGCTGTGACGAGGCAAGTGCCAATCTGGTGCCACTTAATTACCTGCTCAATCTTGTGCCAGGCGTCTGCCAGGCGTCGACCGTCGCCAGTCCCGGCGACTTCCATGCGTGGCAGTCCCTAGGCCAGGTTGCTGCTTGCAGCGCACGCAATCAAGCCTGCAGTTCTTTGCAAATGTCCCGGTCCAGTCCGTAGTACTATGTACATACGGAGTCCATACATATTCCCTTCATCTGTGTCTTCTGGCTCATCCGCTCCTGCTCCATTTGGCAGAAGCCTGCACAAACGCCTCTCGTGATTGGTCCACCTCCAGATCGCAGCCATCGTTCGTGGATGAAAGTGGTGCCATCATGCACGTCTTGTTGAAGCACACTTCATTTGAGAAGTTTCTGTATTCCGGAGCATGTACGGAGTACATCTCGAGCCGTCGGCCTGGTTTCAGCCATGAGTCCCATGAGTCCCGGCCTTCCCCAACACTGCAACCGTCACACCGCGTCAACAGTGCCCTTTCTACATAACATCGATAGTAGTCGTATATGCACTCGAGGAGCTTGTACCATATGGATTCGACTTGACGTTTCCATTCTTGCCAGTAGTAGTCAAGTTGCAGGCGGCTTGTCCGGAGCCTGCAAGTTCAACTTCCATGTCAAATGTTCTTCCCGGGTGCTATCCCCATCCGCCGTGTCAAATTCTCATGTGCCTCTTGCATGCTCAAATGCTCAAGTGCCCCTAGTGTTGTCCCACCCCGCCATATCTCCCGGTGATCGATCTTCTAAACCCTATACTATCCTTTCGAATATTACATGTATGTACTACATCCCGGGTTCCCAGCGCTGTGAAATTTGCTCTGACCCCCAGCTAGCTAGATCATCATGCGACATGCTTCCTTCCAGCAAGCAACTAGAACGATTGGTCCACAAAAAGATCCCTGATGATACGACCAAGCTCTTTTGCTCTTGCAACGCATAGCGTATGTATGTACATACGCAGTAGTACGCATCTCTCGACATCGTTGTGTGCCATGGATCAGACTTTGCAATCGTACCAACCGGAAGCCAATCCATATTACCTGCGTTCGCCCGTTGATGGTAGGAATCAAAGCCCTGTCCTGTACTAAGCCGAACAATCGTCTCATGCAGACGCCGAGAACCGAGCTACGCAAAGCAGTCGTAAGGCTTGATGCTGTTATGCAACCGCAAGGGGTCCTTACCGGGACAAGGCGGATGAGAACTACTTGCATGACAGATCAGACCACCGTACCGCTTTACAGTTCAAATGGGTCATCCAATCGAAAACAATAGTGTCGGTGCACCGACCACAAATGTGATAATCTAGACGCATGGCCGATATGTCCGGGAAGGGCATTACCAATCGGCAACCCGATATTAGTCGTACAGAGAGTCAGCAGCTACTAGCCCTTCTGAGACGCGTGTAAATACATACATGTGTATGTGTGTGTGTGCGTGCGTGTGCGTGTGTGTTTACGGGTTAATAAACAAATAATATCACAAACCATCCACTCCGGCTATCGTAAGAGACTACATACATACACACAGATGCCTTCCCACATGAGGACCTATAGGCACGGAAGTATTCGAGGTACCGGTACATCAAGTTCCAAGAGCCTAATATCCTCAAGGCGTGTTCGCCGAGCTGTTACATCGTTCCGTCCGATATCGGCCTCATATATCCAGAACTTGCAGGAGCAAAATCACACATACATATAAATGTGGCCGATCATTTGGATCCGTTATTCCTCTGAAATCAGTACGGTGCTCTCGCTTGGTTCGGAATGCTGGCCATCAACGGGTTGATACAGAGCACCAACATCCTGCACCACTTGCCTCCCTGACCAGTTCTTCATGCTTCCCTGGGCCTTGGATCTCACACGGATGCCATGCCAGTCGGGCAGCGCTCGGAGCCATGACAGCATCGAGGCGGCCTCGGGCAGGACGACCGTTCCACTGCGTCCGGTGAGGACCTGTTTGACGACAGCCTCGGCAATAGAGTCGGGATGCAACATGGGAGCGACGAATGAGTTGCCCTGGTTAAAGCCTGCAAAAAGGGCGGTTTGAGTGTGTCCAGGGTGGACCGTAATAGTTCGAACCCTGGGAGCATTGTAGCGAAACTTGAGTTCTCCAGAGAGGCCCTCGTGGAAAGCCAAGGCGGCAGCCTTTGAAGCACCGTAGTCGACCATGTCGGGAAGACCAGCCCATGCAGCGATCGATGATACGGTGACAATTATGCCGTGATTTTGAGAAATCATGTTAGGCAAGAATGCCTTGGTGACCCAGTAGTGACATAGAGTGTTGACATCAAAGGTGAATCGGACATCTGCTGGCTCAGAGTCCATAATAGTCTTGCCTCTGGCGACGCCGGCGTTGTGGATAAGAACAGAAGGATGGCCGACCTCAGCTCGAATCCGGTCTGCCGCCGCAATGACGGCATCGGGCGATCTAAGGTCGCATTGATAGTAGTGTACCCTCGAATCTATTCGTATAACTAGTTAGCCCATGGACTCCTCTTTGGACAGAAAAACAGAAAACGCGGAGTACTGCCGGGGCAAACGCACTGGTCTTCATGGTCATGGGCTGAACATCGAGTACAACAACGGTGATGCCCTTCTCGGCAAAGTATCGCACCATGCTTGCGCCAATGCCAGCAGCACCGCCAGTAACAAGTACAATTTCCCTCGACCAGACATATTTGTCGTCGACCCAATTGTTGCGCAGTTTGTCTGAATACCAAGCACTCAGGCGTCGCAAGACGGCAAAGTAGAATAGAACTCTAAGGCGCCGGGCGGCCTTGGGGTGCAAGATGGCCCAGTCTTGGCCTTTTTTGGAGAATCTCGCAAGCAAGACGAGGGGGAGGAGAAGGGCTGGGTTCCCGGCGGTTCTGCGGAAGAGCTTGAGGACAACATCAAGGCAAAAGCCCTCGCGGGGTAGGAATCCCTGATGCATCGGCATGGTGTGAATGTGGGAATCTACGGTTTTGAGCACAGAACTGAGCCTCAAACAATATCAAGTTGAGTTGTATAGACGGCCGCGAATTCGGTTGGGCGTGAAAACGGGTTTCCTAGACGCAAAAGGGCTATTAGAGGAGACAAATGGCGAGAAGATGGACCTGGTATAAGATGAAAGTAGAAGAGTGCAGTCAAAGCCGGTATGAAATTAATATACTCGGGTTAAGTTGAACAACCGGCTGCCTCAAACGACCACAACTCCTGAGCCTCAACATGTCCAGCGCAAAGAGCTAGCTAGAGCCGAGGTCCTTGCCGTTTCTGGCGAGGGCGTGCGTGCGGGGAAGGAACCGTGGCAGCTGTCATAAGCTGGCGGCACTATGGAGTGTTATTATGGTGAAGCACCTGCGACTGCCGAGCTGGGGGCACGTGCATGCAAACTCTAGGATATTTGAAGACCAAGAGCTGAGACCTCTTTGACCTGCGCCTTTGTTTCCGGGGCATAGCCGAACGGACGCACACGGCCTCACAAGACAGCTTATAAGAGTGACGAAACACTCGAAATAAACTCAAAGTGACACTTTCAAACTCACCGTCATCTTCGACATCTGACAACTCTACCGGAAACGGGCGGCAAGCGACGGCAGGTTCTTACGGCACAAGGCCCCAGCTGTCGGGTCTTGGCCACGCGCCGCTTAAATGCCCTTCCACGGGCCCCAACGGTTGCCTCCGTCCGACATTTGAGCACTGGCTTGCGGAGCTCCAAGCTTCCAAGCTCCAGACCCACTTTGGCCATCTCCGACCAATGCTCAAAATGCAGTCACTCGGCCAAGGTTGATGGCTCCCTAACTTACATTGGCTTCACCTTCAACCACGGTTCTCCTTTTCTCTCACCACACAGCTATTCGAGGCGAAATAAAAAGAAAACAAAGCCATATGTTGTGACATTTGGCTCATTTCTGGAGCCCCATTTAATTGCATCGCACGCCCTCTTCCCCCTCTGCCGTCGTCAACTATCAGCAACAGCTCTGTGAGCTGGTACTCAGCATGGCAAGCACTCTAATGCGGGCGATTCGGCCCACGCCGACCCCGTGCAAACGTGGACTGCATCATGCGAGCCGTTTCCATTTGTCAAAATTTGTCTGCTTCCAGTTTACGCGTTCCTGGGGACGCAATGGCGCGTCGGAGTCTGGCGGTTGCCGAGGCTTTGCGAGCAATAATTCATCCAAGGGTTCGCCGGTCCTGGGAGATTGGCTGTGCGTCTCTGACGAAGTTGCCGACGCTGTGGCCAAGAATAAGCCTCTGGTAGCTCTGGAATCAACCATTTACACGCATGGCGCACTGTCAAAGGACCTTCCCTTGGAACATGAGGACCTTGTTCGGAGTCTTGGCGGTATACCAGCAATCATTGCCATAGTGGATGGGGTGCCGACCGTAGGTGTGTCGGGCAAGGAGATGATGCGCATCGTTGAGAGAGGAAATGCCGCCAAAGTTTCACGCCGGGATATTTCATATCTCGTCGGCATGGTGAGTGATGCACCATCATACGTGGTCGTGACCGTTTACTGACAGGTTGTGCAGGGTATTGCTGGTCGCAGAATGCATGGTGGAACGACCATCTCAGGGACCATGTTGCTCGCAAGACTAGCTGGTATCAGGGTCTTCGGTACCGGCGGCCTTGGTGGTGTTCACAGAGGGGGTCAAAATTCAATGGATATTTCTGCAGACCTCACCGAGTTAGGACGTACACGCGTGGCTGTCATTAGCAGCGGCTGCAAGGGGTTTCTGGATATTCCCCGAACATTGGAATACCTAGAGACACAGGGCTGTGCTGTTTCAACATTTGCCGACGGCCGAGAAGGAAAAATAGACTTCCCGGCTTTCTGGGCCAGAGACAGCGGCGCCAAGAGCCCGTCGGTCGTCAACACGGAGAAGGAAGCAGCATCCATGATACTGGCACAGGAACGGCTTGGAATCGAGTCAGGCCTCCTGTTTGCCAATCCAATTCCCGAGAAATTTGCCGTGCCCTCAGACGAAATGCACGCGGCCATCGAGCAGGCGGTGTCGGAAGCCAATGAGAAAGGCTTTACTGGGAGTGCCAACACGCCATATATCCTGCAAAGACTCCGGGAGTTGTGTGGGGAGAGGGTTGTTTCGGCAAACAAGAATTTGGCCACCGCAAATATTACACGAGCCACTAATATTTCTGTTGAGTTGTCGCGGTTGCTGGCGAACGAGCCTCGGCCGGCGACAAGTTCGTAAGTGGAATCGTGGTTGCAACGTGAAAGACGTTTAAGTCTAATTGTAGATAGCAAAAATGCATTCATGCCCCCACACAGCCCAGTCTTTCTTAAAGCGCAAGATGCAACCAACAGCAAGACTGACGTCCTCGTTGCTGGGGGCGTGGCTGTTGACCTAAGCTGTGATTTCACCGGTTCCAAATCTGGAGATGCCTCACCGCAGGCGCATACTTCTAATCCCGCCTCCATTACTCAGTCAATTGGTGGCGTTGGCCACAACGTAGCTTTGGCTGCGCATTTGGCGAGTAGCAAGACGAAGGTAGGCTTCTGTAGCATGGTCGCTGACGATATGTAAGTCCGGCCCTCATGCTGTCACTCCGAAATAATCAGTTCTGACCGCGTTGTATAGAGCTGGCTCAACTGTTATTTCTTCTCTACATCAATCTGGACTGGACACTGCACATGTCAAGATGCTTCAAAGCACAGAACACGCTGGCAGCAGAACCGCTCAATATGTCGCCATCAACGATGCAAACCGAAATCTTGTCATGGCAATGGCTGATATGGGCATTTTCACTCAATACTCTTTCCCCGAGGAATGGCGGTCAACAGTGAAGGTAACTTCACCGAGATGGCTGGTAGTTGACGGTAACTGGAGTGCCAGCAGCATTAGAGAATGGGTTAGCATAGGCAAAGACCACAACGCGAAAGTTGCATTCGAGCCAGTGTCCGTTGCCAAATCAAAGAGCCTATTCACAAACCAGCGCGGCATTCCCAAGCTTGACATCTTTCCCCATGCCAGCGTCGACATGGCGTCTCCAAACACGTATGAGCTAGCAGGCATGTACGAAGTCGCAAAAGAGAACGGCTACCTGGACTCCCAAGATTGGTTCAGGGTTATAGACGCTTTTGGAATGACGGGAGCCAGAGACCGCTTCGTAAGGCTCACATCCGCAGACTTGACGGACACGGGAGTGCCGGTGCAATGCGTCAATCTGCTGCCTTATATACCCACTTTACTGACAAAACTTGGGCCGAATGGCGTCTTATTGACAAGCATTCTCGGTCGAGATGACCCGCGTCTTCGGGATAGAGATGCAGAAGAGTACATACTGGCAAGGGCGTCACCGAACCACCCTACCGTGGGCGGAATTTACATGCGGCTATTCCCACCAGCAGAAAAAGTTGAGAGCATTGTATCAGTCAATGGTGCTGGAGATACGTTTTTGGGCGTTCTTGTTTCTGGATTGGCGCAGGGTGGGAGTGTTGAGAAGTTGATTGATGTGGCTCAGAAGGGAGCTGTAATGACATTGAAGTGTACGCAGTCTGTCAGTCCAAAATTAAGGACATTGGAGGATATACTCACGAAGACCGTTTCTTTTAGATGATTATTTAATTGGACAATAAAATCAACATTCAACTTTTTCCCATTTCTGGTGTTACTGTGTTGGGCTCACATCATGGATTGCTGTGGCCCAAGTTGCTTCCACAAAAATTTCCAACATGTATTACTGTTTATGTATAAAAATATAGTCTGAGGAGCAGTCATGAAATACTCCTAAAAGGCCCTCACTCCCCTCTTGTTTTGGAAGCATTCTCACACTCAGGGACGATGATACAATCAGCCTTGCGACTTTACCGAGCTCCTATTGGTGAATGGGTTTCTCGGCCCATAAATATGAGGGGTCCGTCTGCAAGGCTGACATTGGCATCCAAAAAAAAAATTCCACCACCTCGAAATCTTGCCAGCGCTGATAACCACCTTTTCGCCCGCCGCCCATTTATCATTGTAAAAATGGCGAACAAACTGGATAATTGGGATTTCGACCAAGAGAGTTCCGAAAGCGAGCTCTCTTCAGACGCTGAGACTGGTAATCCGCCCGATGCCAACAAAAGAGCTGGTATTTTCGAAAAGGACTCCGACGAGGAGGAGCTCGAGCGATTGGTTCTTGGAAACAAGGCTGGGTTTAAAGAAAACCTTTTCAAACATGGAATTCTTAACGAGGACGATGATGGTAATGGCGACATTGAAATGGGCGATACCGATACTGGCGGCCTAGAAGAAGTAGATGATGCCGACTTGTTCGTCCTGGATACCGGCGCAGGGAGGGCGTCAGTGCCGTTGGCAAATGCCCCAAAGGTCGAAGAGGGCGATAGACCGGCGTGGGAGGATAGCGATGACGACCGATTAGTTATTTCCTTGGCTGGTGCGAACAGGCTGCGGAAATTGCGAATGACTGAGGCGGATGATCTCGTCACTGGTTCGGAATACTCGAGGCGGCTACGCCAACAATTCCTGCGATTAAACCCTGCACCGGCCTGGGCCAAACAGAACGCCGGACGGCCGGCGTCCAAGAGACGGCGACGCTCATCAGCAGCGTCAAATTCGACCAGCGACTCTGACGGAGACTCAGACTCGGAGTCGTCCGCGCAGCCCTTGGAGGAGTTCCTGCGAGACGTCAGACAGCTAGCCGGACTGGGGGCCTCCAAGAAGCGCAGGCTGCGGCCAGAAGTTCTCGACATCCAGAGGACAAGAGACATTTCGGACAAGCACAGGGCTCCAGTCGAGTGTCTCTCCTTCCACCCCGAATACCCCGTCCTGCTGTCCGCCAGCAGAGCATCAATCTTATACCTGCACCACATCGCGCCCGATGCCCAGCCGACGCCAAACCCGCAGCTCACATCTGTCCAGGTTAAGCAAGTGGACGTGCGAAGAGCGGAATTCCTGTACCCGCAAGGCGACAAGATCTTCTTTGGTGGCCGTAGAAGGTACTTTCACCAGTGGGACCTGCCGTCCGGTATTGTGCAGAAGACGACGCAAATCACCGGACATGGCTTGGAGCACAAGACCATGGAGAAGTTCAAGCTGAGCCCTTGCGGGCGATACATGGCCATTGTCGCATCGACAAAAAAGGGCGGTGGCGTGATCAATGTCCTCAGCGTAGCTTCCATGCAGTGGATTGCCGCCGCCAGACTATCCAGCCGACACGGTATTGCTGATTTCGCGTGGTGGAGTACCGGGGGCGGCATGACGATTCTCGGTCGAGACGGCCAAGTTGGCGAATACAACATGGAGTCGAGGACCTTTGTCGGTATATGGCACGACGACGGCTGCATCGGCGGCATCGTCATCAGTCTCGGTGGGCACGGCGGACCCCCAGCCCTCGGGGAGGACCGCTGGGTGGCCGTCGGGTCGAACAGCGGTATCGCGAATATTTACGACAGAAGCGTGCTGATAGCTTCGCAAGGGGACGACGAGCTCGTCGTCAAGGAACGGCCCACGCCGACCAGAACCTTTGAGCAGCTCATCACGCCCATCACCGTTTTGGCATTCTCGCCGGACGGCCAGCTGCTCGCGTTTGGTAGTCGGGAGAAGAAGGACGCCCTGAGGCTGGTGCACCTTCCTAGCTGCACTGTATATCGAAATTGGCCGACGGAGCAGACGCCGCTGGGTAGAATCACTTGTGTGGCGTTTGGGAGGGAGAGCGACGTGTTAGCTGTGGGTAATGACTCTGGGAAAATTAGATTATGGCACATTCGGAGTTAGGGCTGAATTGCATGAGGGCATTTGTATTTATGCGTCGTTGAGATATCTGGCTTCCCGGCCATCTATCACGTTTTCATGCCGTATCCTAAACTCGTCAAAAGGCCCGTTTGTCGTCCATGAGAATCGGTCTCCGTGCCGTCTTTCGCTGGCTGTCTATTTGCTAGCATCCCTTGTATGCGGCAGCATGCCCCCCTCATCTTGGGCCTGATTTGGCTGTGCCGCTTGCCCCTGAAGCAAGCAATACCTCCCGTTCTTTCGCAAAGTAGCTTCTTCCAAACTAGCCTAGACTGGATTTCGAGCACCTCTTCTTGGGTCAAGTTTTGTCCCTGCGCCTTCCATTGCTCTTCGTCTCTCACACAAGCTCCGCGTCCCCGTCCTGCACCAACGCCCTCGCGCTGGACCACCTCAGAATCAAGACATCACCCTCCTCCGCCGGCAGCGTGACGTCGGCATCCGTCCCGCTCCCGTGAACGTCGGCGCTCCTCAGCATGCGGATGAAGACGGCCGTGTCCAGATCCGGCGCATCAATCATGCTGATATTCCCCGCTGTGTCGTTCAAGTTCTGCAGCTGCTGTGGGAAACTGCCTAGAAAAGAAGACAGGTAGTGATTGTGCAGGAGGGCCTGGTGTCTCGTTGCGTAGGCCAGTTCCGTGGGGGATAGCCTGTCCCGGAGCTCTTGGGTAGAGAGGTAATGGAGGGTGTGCTTGTCAATCTATCATGTCGAAGGGTTAGCACGGCGTGTCCCTGACTGGTTCCAGGGAGGTGGCGAGTACCTTGGAGACTCGTACTCGCAGGTAACTTCTGACGAGGAATTTCCACCGCTCCAGCTCTGTTTGCAGTACAATGAGGGAAAAATTGGCCTTTGGGTCCATGTCGCCCGTCATGTCTTCGACCTTTTCAATCTGCGCCTTGATGCGGCCGTTGACTCGTTCGAAGAGCCCGTCGGACGGCCAGCTGCTCTCTCCCTCCGTGTTAGGGGAGTACGATATCCAGACCAGTGTATGGGGGAGGCGTTTGCGCGACACCTTTGCCGCTGTTGGACTTACTCTAACAGCTCGGGCGCTGAGCGCTCTGCTACCCATCGACGCGTCAGGGCTTGTAGATCGCGTGTGCCGGAGGGGATGGAGTCGGTGGCGGGGTCGACTTCACGCAGGATGTCGTCGATATCCATGGTTGCTATAAGACTTGGGAGAGTTTAAGGGACATGTGGTCTGGGGGGTTTCTTCTTTCTTTTCGTCTTCTTTTCCCTTTAGAAACGAGTCGAGGTTGATGTGGTGTAGTTGAGCAATGCCGCCTTTTTCGATGGTGGGGGTGAATTGGAGTTCGTGGCGCGTGGAGGGGCAGGCAGTGGACGGGTTTGGCGGCGGATTGGTGGATGCTGGTTGGAGCTCTAAGTGGCTGCATGTGGTCTTTAGGAGCTGGAGACGAGAGTATTTGGAGCGGAAAGATGGTTTATACATGCGTAGTTTTTACGCTGCTGTTTCGATTCTTGATGCGAATCCAACTTGCCTCTCTGGGTTGTCCAATTCGCCTGTGATTCGACCGTGCTGCCATGTGGGGGAAGAACCAACATTGAAATGGCCCATGCAAGTGGACAGGGACGGAGTAGCTGCAATTAATACCCCGGATTTGGCCCCTTCAAAGTCCGTTTGAGCCGAGGCTTACAACAGCTCAGCCTTGGATATAAACCCGTTTCGCATCTCACGCCTACCCATGGGGCCATGGCACTCTGACATGCCGTGCAGCAAAAGCACACTCATCCCGCCAATATAGGTGCAAAAGCCCAAGCCCAGGACCGCCAAAATGTCTGGAAGCGACGACGATGAGCGGGTTCCCTACGCTCAGTACCTCAGGTCCATCCTCGAGAAGGGCCTCCTCCTAGGCAGCCCGCCCGTTGTGACCACCAATCCAAACAGCCTTGAGGAGCAAGCAAAGAAGGTCATGTCCAAGAAGGGATGGGACTATATCAAAGGCGGCGCAGGAGAGAGCTCGACAATGGATGCCGATAGACTGGCGTTTCGGCAGTGGAAGATTGTGCCGAGGGTCTTGACGCCCACCACGCCCAGGGACTTGAGCACGACTCTGTTTGGAGAGAAATACGGTACGCCAACTGACCGGTTCGCCCGTTCTACGAATCCAGTGGTTCCAATTTCCGCCCTGTGAACAATTGTAGCCAGGCACAGCGCCACAGGCCATGCTGACCGACTTGCTACAGACACGCCCGTTCTCATGGCCCCCATAGGCGTTCAGTCGTGGTATCACGATGACAAAGAAGTCGGAACCGCAACCGCCTGCGCCAACCTCCGCGTCCCTTTTACCCTCAGCACGGCGGCCTCCACAAACATTGAGGAGCTCGTGGAGAAGGTGCCTCGGGGCCCCAAGTGGTTCCAGCTCTACTGGCCGCTCGACGAAGAAATCACCGCGTCCATCCTCACGCGTGCCAAGGCCAGCGGCTTCAAGGTCCTCGTCGTCACCCTCGACACCTGGACGCTTGCGTGGCGGCCTTACGACCTGGACCCGGCCTCCGTCCCGTTCATTGTCGGAGAGGGCGACGACGTGGGCTTCAACGACCCCGTGTTCCGTCGAAAGTTTGCCCAGCGCACGGATGGTGAGACGCCCGAGGAGAGCAAGGTCCAGGCGGGCATGTACTGGTGCAGCGAGGTCTTTCCCGGCGTCAGCCGCAGCTGGGAGGACCTGAAGATCCTCAGGAGGTACTGGGACGGGCCGATTGTTTTGAAGGGCGTCCTGAGCGTCGAGGACGCCAGGTTGGCCGTGGAGCATGGCATGGATGGGTTGATTGTCAGCACGCATGGTGGACGACAGCTGGATGGCGCCGTGGGAACGTTGGATGTCCTTCCAGATATTGCGGATGATGTGGGTGACAAGATTACCGTCATGATTGACTCGGGGATACGGACAGGCGCAGACGTTCTCAAGGCCGTTGCGCTGGGCGCAAAGGGGGTGTTTCTGGGACGGCCTGTGGTGTATGGGCTGGGTATTGACGGTGCTGCTGGTGCCGAGGCGGTTATTGCTGGTATTTTGGCGGATTTCGATCTGACTATGGGGTTTTGCGGGGCAAAGACTATCGCGGATATCAAGAGGTCGTTGTTGAAGAAGGTCTCGTATCCTGGGGATGTCAAGGCTAATTTGTGATGTTGTCAGTGATGCATATGTGCTTGTGAGTTTACATGTAAATAGCTAGATGTGTGCCGAGAGTGCAGATTATAGTTATTAATCTATTCAACTCATACGCAAGTGTTGATCTGCTAAATATGATGGCTACGCTGCACGTCTGGGCCTGTTTGATACCGCAGCTGTAACCACCACATGTTTCCTTGCTGCTGTTGATCCTCCAAAAAAAGCTCTTTACTGAACTTTTCTAAGGGGCTTGAGAGCTTCCCGCCGAGCTTGCTCATTGTCATTCACCACACCATAGAGCCAGCTCAAGAGGCTAGAGAAGGCCGTCACAAGACCAGCTGAAAACGTAAAGAGCAAAACCCGCTGGCCTGTGGTAAGCAGCTCGAACATGGGATAAGGGTACCTTGAAATTTAGTCAGCAACGAATTTCTACAACAAATGCCACGGAGTACTGTCCAATGGCACCTACCATCCGTTTTTGCTAAAGCATATCTCAACCCAGTACCAGTACGAAAAGGCGAATACGGTGCTCACCGACATCATGCTGTAGCCCGAGATAGTCCATGGCGGACTGAACAGGATCAAGTCAAGAGTCAAAAGAACAGCAGGCGCCAAGTGGAAGCCAATGTTTACCCAGGTCGATAGCTCAAACCCAGGCGGGACAATTAGAGAAGTGTCGATTGCGCATATACCCCAGTACAAGGTGGACACGAGGACTTCGAGGGGAGTAGCGACGATTGATATGAGGTTCTTAAGCTCAAATAATGCCGTACTCCCCGTGACATCAGCAACAGCAGCCAGCGCAAAGACCGCAAGAGACAGTGTTAGACCAATGATGGTCAGGAATTGAAAGTACCATCCATGCGACTTGGCCAAGGGAGTGTCCCAGCTGAATAAGAACTGGAACGCCTTACCCAGAGCCGCAACCCCAGCCAGGTGCATGGCCAGGGAGATGGAAGGCGACGGAGATGGGAAACGCTGGAGATGATGCCGAGCCATGGTCGTTTGGATCTAAAAAGAAGAAGAAGATACTAAATCAATTGAACAGGGTACTACTGCAATAAATGAGGACAGGGTGCCGAGAACTTAGAAGTCTGGGGTAGCATTGGATGCGCGGATGCATCCCGAGGCCTTCAATCCCTGCGTTGTGACGAGCGGAACTGACCCGAATTACAGCACAACGAAAAAGGACAGAGACGACTGCGTAAGACAGTCAACATTCAACCCAGGGGCAAACAAGAGGTCCGTACATCTGGTTCTGGTGAAAAATACTCGGCACGTACTCCGTACATCAGCAATAATGCGAGTACATAAGTACTTAGATGTAACAGAGTTGGAACATTGAAAATTTCTGGTTGCAGGTTGCGCCAAACTGGTCAACGGTCTGGTGCAACACAGTGCATGTGGTGACCCATGGTGGGGGGCCGTCACCTAAAAGAGCTGTTCTAAGCTCATCGGGCAAGTGCAAGCGCGACCTTGAATTTTGACCCTTGAGGCATGGTTACAATCGAGTGTAATCCTGGGAATGGCATAATCAACCCAGCATTGAGCCCATCTGCACCGCAAACGCTCGTCACCGCCTACTGCTGACCTGATCTCGTCCCATTTGGGGTCCTACCGCTTTGCATTTGCAACCCTTTTCCAGGTAGAAATGCCTGATTCCGATGCGGGCGACGACGATAGTCGCTCGCAAAAACGCAGCCATGCAGACTTCGCTGAACAAGATGGAGCCGGTAAGACTCCTTGGTGGCCTCCAGAACTTCCTTCAAGTAGCTAACAAAGGTATAGATTCCTCGTCGGACGATGATATGGGGCCCCAGCTCCCATCCGAAGCACCCAAGAAGAAACGCCGCGTCCTGCCCTACGAGAAGCTCTACGTCACCGCGCTACCAAAGTCAGCGCGGTATTCAAAGTCCTTAATGCACAAAGAGCAGTTGCTCTTCGTCACATGGACGCCGCTGACTGAATTCCTCATTACATCCTCCATTGACGGCGTGGTCAAGTTCTGGAAGAAGATTGCCCAGGGCATCGAGTTTGTCAAGGAGTTCAAGGCACACAACGGCGAGATTAAAGCCGTATCCGTAAGCAAGGACGGTCGGAGCTTCGCAACCGCTGGTGTCGACGAGACGGTCAAAATTTTTGATGTCATCACATTTGACCTGCTGTCTATGCTGTCTTTGGACTACGTGCCGAAATACGTCTGCTGGGTTCATCAGAAGGGAGCATCGTTTCCACTGCTGGCAATTTCAGAGGAATCCAAGCCTCTAGTACACATTTATGACGGCCGCGGTGAGAGCGAGCAACCGATACATACCATCAAGGGCCTGCACCGAAGCCCGGTTCATATCATGGCGTTCAATGATTTCTACGACTGCGTTGTATCAGCGGACGAGAACGGCATGATTGAATACTGGCGACCTGGCGGAAATTACGAAAAGCCGGGCAATGTGTTCCAATACAAAAGTTCGACCAATTTGTTCGATTTCAAGAAGGCTAAAGCGGTCCCAACATGTCTAACAATGTCGCCAAATGGCAACAGCTTCGTCACCTTTTCATTCCCGGATCGAAAAATTCGCATATTCGACTTCAGCTCCGGCAAGCTACAGCGCACGTACGATGAGTCTCTGCAGGCTATTGAAGATATGCAGCAGACGGGATCAGCGTCCCAAAAACTAGACAGCGTCGAGTTCGGCAGGAGGCTCGCACAGGAACGAGAGGTAGACTCGCAACTGCTACGGCACAAATCAAACGTCATATTTGATGAATCGGGGAATTTCATTGTGTATGGATCTATGCTGGGAATCAAGGTCCTCAATACGTACACGAATCACGTCATCAAAGTTTACGGCAAGGACGAGAACTTTCGTGCAGTCAACCTCGGCTTGTACCAGGGCCAGCCGCAGAAGAAGGGCATCGTTTCTGTCGAGATGGGCGCGTCGAGCAATCCCCTTCTACAAGAGGCGGAAGCCCGAGACCCGATGCTGGTTGCCACCGGTGTCGGAAAGGTTCGCTTCTACATGTTTACCAACGAAGAGGACGTACAGAAGGCCAGCAGAGACGTACACAATGAGCGACCAACCATGTTGGGGAACAAGAAGGAGGGCAATGCTAAGGCGACAGCGACAGGGAGTGCTGCAGTCCTCCATACCAATTACGGGGACATCCACATACGCCTCTTTCCCGAAGCGGCACCGAAAACGGTGGAAAATTTCGTCACCCACGCGAAGAACGGCTATTACAACAACACGATATTTCACCGAGTAATCAAAAAATTCATGATCCAGGGGGGTGATCCGCTAGGCGACGGTACGGGTGGCGAAAGTATTTGGGGCAAAGAATTCGAGGATGAATTCAGCAGCCTAAAGCACGACAAGCCGTTTACTGTAAGCATGGCGAATGCCGGGCCCAATACCAACGGAAGCCAGTTCTTCATCACCACGGAAAAGACGGTAAGTGGTCACACTACCCTCCACCCCTCCAGGCTAAGGCCCTTGTCGGTTTCAACTAACCATTGACAGCCCTGGCTGGATGGCAAGCATACCATCTTCGGACGAGCCACTCAAGGGTTCGATGTTATTCAGAACATCGAAAACGTCAGGACGTACAAAGAGAAACCCGAAGAGGACATCAAAATCCTCAATATTGATATCATGTAGAAGCAAATACTACGGCGAAATTCTCACCCGTCTCATTTAGTCGTCGCGATGGCGCAGAACCTTTTGAACGCTGCCTGTGATATCCAAGACGCTTTCCCCAGTCTTTGATCTATCGAAAATCTTGAAGCCAAGGGTCAAACTAGATTAATTGATGGATCAAGCCAACTTTTAGGCCGTGCATACGGCTGACTGCGGGTCTCGCACATTTTTAGGTGCGGGCGCCCAACCTTTTCGATCGGTATTGCCTATTTTGACTTCCCAGCAAAGCTGAAGGTATTGCGTATATGAATCTATACCTCCGTCTTTGGGCCGCGTTCCTATTGTGTTTAATCTATTTTCTTGGTTTGAAACTTGGCTGGCATGGATATCAGCTTTCGTCACCTCTCTTCTCCACGCCATCACACTGGGCCTGATTGTTTTCCTAGCCGCGATTGCCGTCACTGCCCTCGGATACGTCAGCGCATGATCATCAGATTCTGCCACCCTCGTTGTGATATCTACCTCTGTTGTCCCAGTTGGAGCCAGCTCAACATCCATCTAGGCATGAAACGTACGTTAAGTCATGCCGCGCCAAAAAAAACCAGGAGCTCGCGAGCCCAAGCGAAGGAGCCGCAAAGGCTGTTGGTCAGTATCACACATACCGTTGATATACACAAGGTATACACAATGACTGACTCAACCTTTCCCAGGCCTTGCAAGGGGAAAAAAATCAAATGCGGCGAGGAGCACCCCTATTGTAAGAAGTAAGTGTCGAAACAGTAACGCAAATTTTCCAAGTCTGCCGAGATCCAACTGTCCTGCCTCGAGAGGCCCTGGAACTCCCAGGTGGGCGCATCTGGTGCTACACCAAGGCTGACTGTTTTGTTTTACTTTTTAATCGAAAAGCTGTCTCAAAGTTGGCGATGTCTGCGACTATAGCGTCCGGCTGAACTGGTCCGGCCGGCACACCAAAAGCCAATTCGTTGGAGAAAACAGCTGCGGCAACCCCTGGCCGGAGGGCAAGCTGGACCAAGTGCCCCATGAGTTGTCGGCCGAGAATCCCGAACTTCCAGACCATTTCATGATCTCTGGCCAGGAACTGGATGGTGCAGACTCTTACAGTGAGGACAGAATTCAGCAACCCCTTGTCCCGACAACGGTGTTTAAAAACATGACAACAACCAATGATGCTGGCAAGCAAGAAAACTCATTTAATAACACTCTCATCTTTATTGATGAGTCCCAACAACACCTGAGTGGTGCTGGGCCTTCGGAGAGCTATATTGCAAAGCGGCACCTTGGACACTCGCAAGGGACTACGTCGGTAAGCTCTCCTTACAGAGGCTCACTGGTAAATTCACCTGCAGTAGGCGCTGCAGTACACAAGAAAACCAAGTCTTTTACCGAGTTTACAGAACTAGACATCGGGCAGTCGCAATTAATGCCTTGTCCGAGCTATACACAGAAAAGCACGTCGGCGACGTGGCCCTCGTACCCCAATGTACTTGACAGTCCGCTTACTCCTACACTTTCATCATACAGTGATGACATTACAAGTCGCTCAAACTGGACTGAACTTCCCTCTCTTGGGTCTCCTGATTCCTGGGGGTCTGGTAAGGGTTTCTCTGAAAATTCACCACCACAGTCTGGGCATCTATCGGAGGAGCCAGGAGCGTACGGTCTTCAGGAGACTCTAAGCAGCTCAGATGTATATCCTTGCGGAAATGGTGCATTTTATGGTTATGATTCAGGGGCAGCAGATGAGGACCTGCTGAAGAATGACGATGCCATTACCGTAGTCCTGCTTCCCTCCACAGCGTACAATTCCGCAAGCGGAGTCGTAGACTTTGGAGAAGAGGCCATGCCTTGGCAAATTCGAGACAGGATGAGTGGCCTAAATCAATACTACTATAAGAACGTGGTTCCAGTAGTGATACCCTGGGCTCTCGAGCCATTGCCAGACATGTAAGACAATCTCACAATCTCACCCTCCCCTCAGATACCACCCTGGGAAAGGAAATATTAATCGAGTTGCATAAACAGGTTGAAACGAAACAAGATGAACCTGCTGGTGCGTACTTGGAGGAGATATCATATTAAGCCCTCCCCCACCAATGGATAAGTCACCAACTAACACTTTTTGGACATTGTAGTACTTTGTAAGATGGCCCAGGCCCTTGCATTATGTCGTGCAACACTAACCATGCCAATAGCACCACTTTCTGAACCACACTTCCCACGGTATGATGTATTTTATGCCGTCCATTGTGTTACCCTCCTAATGCGGCTGATGCAGTCTTGGTACCATACCATGACGACAATACAAACCCTTTGCGGACACAACTTGTGGTTATGGCTGTCAAAAGCGAGCCTTTGATGAGTCTTATCCTTGCGTACTCTGGTATGGCTTCCTTATCTTCTCGTCTCAACCCAACCCCCCCTCACACGCACAGGTACATAGACTGATTTAGTGAAGCTGCGCATCGGTCGCAACTCTTGGAAACGGGCTTGCCTCAGATGCGAATGGCAGAGTGGGCTCAGTCTGTTTTCCCAGCTCTTAGAGAGTCGTTGCTCGGTGCATCTTCTCCGATGCCCAATGTCACACTGGCCATGGCGGTCATGCTCATTGCCCTGGAAATCATGTCTCCCGGTGCATTTGGCCGGGGCGTTTCGTGGCGCGAGCATGTTGCCCATGCGAGAGGTCTCCTTGCCAAATGTCTGGACCACGGCCCCCAAGACACGACGGTGGAGGGGATGTGGTTTATCCAGAGTTGGTTGGGTTACATAGACGTCATGGGCGGTCTTATGGCAGGGCCGCTTTTGGATATGACTTGTAAGTCACAGGTCTACTTCCCACCGCCTGAGACTCGTAGATGTGCCAATGACTTGGACGAGATTGATTGCATGATGGGGATATCGGTGAAATGCGCGCGCTTGCTTGGTCAAGTGGCAGAGTTGGCCAAGCAATGTCAAGGCGAACGATTCAGGCTGGACGGCCAACTGTTGCAGGGCTGGTGTCCTCAGCCGACCATGGTGGAACAAGCACTGTTGCTGGAAAAGCACCTGATGGAGAGTCTGAGGCAATCTTCAAGACCTTGTCCCCATGTGAGGGCCGGCAGTATTCACATGAGGGACTTGGCGGAAATGGCCGGTGTGAACGAGGCCTTCCACTGGGCTGGTATGATACATTTGCACCGCAGAGTCCTCGGAAAGGCAACGGACCACCCGGACGTACAAGGAAGTGTGCGGAGGATCATGCAATGTCTAGAGCAGATTGGAACTCGAGGGGTGGCCAAGACGCGCTATCTATTCCCGATATTCACGGCAGGCTGCGAGGCCCTCACGGAGCGTCAGCAGACGAAACTCCTGGGACGGTTAACCAATGCGGAGAAGAGCGGCATGAAACAGGTACGTGAGATATTCTTTGGGGTTTTGTTCCGGGGAGTTGAAGACGTTATTGACCAAGAGGGGGTGGCGCTGTAGGTACATTCTACTCGACTCTTGCTTCAGCAAGTCTGGACGACCGGCAAGGCGTGGGAAGAGCTCATTTGCAACGAATTTGTCGCATGAAGTCGTTTTACATTGTATATGCATGCTTGGCACGATAGAATACGAACTAGAATGGACACTCTGTAGCGCAACGCACATGGCACAACTGTACATGGTTTCTCCGCTTCTCGTCCTCTCTCCTTTTTTTTGTTGATCCTTATTCTATGGACCATCTTTCTCGTCACGCTGGAACCCTGCATGAATACGGCGAGGGCATGTGTGGGATGAGTTTGTTTTGTGATTGGGGTCGTTGTTCTCACATGATGGCTGTTTAAGTTTGACACAACAGATGACGGAGGCACCACTTCGTCCCCCTGCCAGGTCATCTGTCTCCTGAGAGATCGATCTCGGCTGGCGGATCTTGCCATGTCATCCAAGGGCGTGAATGGTCCAGACACGTCAATTTTTTGACCACACTCCCCCAGCTTACTGGCGGTCAAAACACACGACGAGTTGAGAGCGAACTCGCACATGTGCACTGACTGGTTCGAGATGACGGGCCGCCAGGTGGACCAGCAAGGGTTGCAATGACGCAAGTTTTGGTGGATGTCGTTGGATAAAATGTTAACATTGTTGTCAAAACCAGCACATACCTCAATGAAATGCATGTTTAGGCTTGGGCTCCGTGTTGCGGCGCCGAGAAGAGAGAGACAACAAGTACATGTACTTGGGCCACTCGGGCCAATAGCAGCGAGGCAATTGACCACCCGTCGCCTCTGGAGCCACCAATATCACCTTATGCACAGCTTACTGCACCAGACTGGACTGTATTTGCATGTATATGTACTCCGTACTCGGTGCCTCTCATCTCATGACGGGCATCGGAGCAAGTAAGCGTGGGATGCCGTGATCAATGATGGGTCAAAGGCGCTCACTTGCATGTAAGCATGCATGTGTCAATCGTATGTAGTTCATTTGACTCGGTGCATCTCCTAGTCGCATCGCTGAATGGGCCACCTGGCCCGTTGGATGGATCTGGGAGCCTCTCTGTGCGACTCATCTTGGCCTCGAGCTGTCGCCGACGCCGGCCATCCTTTGGGTGCTTGTGAGTGTGACGGCGGCCCAAAATTTATTTTTTTTTATTTTGGGACACGCCATTTCTGCCGCGCAGGTCTACATCTGCACATCACACCTCTCTTGCCATCGCACAACGCAGTTTTCTCGGTCGATTTATACAGTTCGGCTGGCCCAATTGTACTCTTCAAACCCTCAATTCTTTCGCTCCCTCTATACATCCCTTGTGTTGTTCCACGATGTCGGTAAGTTGACGCTTGCGCTGCCCCTCCTTGGCACCTTCTTGTTGTACATATGGCGGGGTGACTCATGAATGACATGTGCCCAGCAGTTCTACATTGAAAACAAAAATGTTGGCAACAAGGCCGACTCTGAGGATTGGAGAAGTACGCGCTCCTAGTCCCTTGTTCCTTTTGCCCTGTTGCCGACTGACTCTGTCCGCCAGTTCGAGGCTACAACCCTCTCACGCCGCCCGACCTGCTGCAGCACGAAATCCCCCAGACCACGGCTTCCAAGAGGACCGTTATCGAATCAAGAGATGAAGTCGCCGCCGTGGTAAACGACACGGACGAGCGAAAACGTCTGCTCGTCGTCGTCGGCCCCTGCTCCATCCACGACCCCGAAGCCGCCCTCGCCTACTGCGACCTCCTGCTGCAGGCTCGCGAAAAGCACAAGGGCGAGCTCCTCATCGTCATGCGCTCGTACCTCGAGAAGCCCCGCACCACTGTTGGCTGGAAGGGCCTCATCAACGACCCCGACATCGATGGCAGCTTCAAGATCAACAAGGGCCTGCGCCTGGCCCGCCAGCTCTTCGTCGACCTGACCGCCAAGGGCATGCCCATTGCCAGTGAGATGCTGGACACCATCTCCCCCCAGTTCCTGGCCGACTTGCTCTCCGTTGGTGCCATTGGCGCCCGAACCACCGAGAGCCAGCTGCATCGCGAGCTGGCCAGCGGCCTGAGCTTCCCCGTGGGATTCAAGAACGGCACCGACGGCTCGCTAGGCGTTGCCATTGACGCCATTGGCGCCGTCAGGCACCCTCACCACTTCCTGTCCGTCACCAAGCCCGGTGTCGTTGCCATTGTCGGCACCACTGGAAACGAGGACTGCTTTGTTATCCTGCGAGGCGGCACTCGGGGGACCAACTACGACGCTGCTAGCATTGCCGAGGCCAAAGCTGCCCTGGAGAAGAAGGGCGTTTCTCCGAGACTCATGGTTGACTGCAGCCATGGTAATTCGCTCAAGGATCATAGGAACCAGCCCAAGGTTGCTGCTAATATTGCTGAGCAAATCGCCAAGGGGGAGACTGGTATCATGGGTGTCATGATTGAGAGTAATCACAACGAGGGTACGTCTCTGCTTGATGATTATTTCATTTTTTGTTTGTGTCTCTTCGTTTGCATAGAAGGAAGAAACACAAAAAAAGGGAGCATGGCACTAACATCTTGACAAAAAGGCAACCAAAAAGTCCCCGCCGAGGGCAAGTCGGCCCTCAAGTACGGCGTCAGCATCACCGACGCCTGCATCAACTGGCAAGACACCGAGTCTGTCCTCGACGTGCTCGCCGACGCTGTTAAGCAAAGGCGCCAGGTTCTTGGTATTAACGGACACGCTTAGATACCCCAAAGCAAGCAAAAAAGTTTCATGTCGGGTGTTTTTTTAATCTTTCCCCAGAAAGCGCCTTACAGCAAGAAAATACATCTTGTTCTTTCCCCTCTGACCAAAACACATCTCTCTTGTTTTTGTTTTTTTTATTGGACGGAGGATTTGTCGACGCACATGGAAGAGGCTTGGAGTTGGAAGCGGTGGATTTTAGTTTGAAATATGCAAAAGTTAACGAGGATTAGATGAAAGTCTCAATCATGACATATCTGGAAAGCCTTTGCCAAAGAAAACTCGCAGTCTCCATCATCTCTCTCTCTCTCTCTCTCTCTCTCTCTCTCTCTCTCTCTCTCTCTCTCCCCCTCCCCAATCACAGCCCCATCCCATCCCAATCAAACCGCGACATCCGGCATCGAAGCACACCTACAGCCGTCGCTGAAGCCCGCCCTGGGCACCAGCACTTTGACCTTCCTCGTGTCCTCGGGGTCGTCGAGCGGGATCCTCAAGACGACGCCGCTCCGGTTATGCGAGGCGTACAGGACGCCGTCGCTCGTGGCGACGACGGCGCCAAACACGCCGTCCCGGATGCCGAAGCCCGGCAAGCCCTTGTGCCTGACCTCCCACCGGTGCGAGGCCAGATCCCACCTCACCAGGTACAGGCCGCGGTCGTCCACGGCCACGCTGTGCAGGTACCCCGGCGCGGCGGGCGTGAAGGCCCAGTCCCCGGCGGCCAGGTTCCCCGGCAGGGCGCTCGAGTCGGACGTGCCCCTGGCCACGACCTGCCCGTACCGCGCGGACCCGGGCTTCAGGTCGACCCGGGCCCAGGCCCTGCCGCCCGCGGTGTAGTAGAGCTGGCCGTTGCTGTCGACGTCGCCTGCGTTGGCGGCCATGTCGCCCTCGGCCACGCGCTGCAGGGCGCCGTCGTGCCCGACCCGGACGACCGTCTTGTTCTGGAGCCCGTAGATGAAGTTGTCGAGGGGGTTGAAGCCTATGGCGCTGACTCGGGCGGAGGAGCCGCCGACGCTGGAGGACAGGGTATTTTTCTCGCCCGTCTGGAGGTTGACGCTGAGGAGGTGGCGGTCCTGGATGAAGAAGGCGTCTGCGGAGCAGTTGAAGGGGACTAGTGTGGATAGGGGGGATTGGAGGCCCGTGGTCGATGATGATGATGATGATGTGCTGGCGGCTGCTGTGGTGGTGTCTGTGGCTTCTGCCGTGGTGGTGCCTGAAGTTGCGGCTTCGGTCGAAGTAGTTGTGTCAGCAGAAGTGGTGAAATCAGTTGTTGAAGCCGTGTAAGTTGGGATGGTGATGTCGCTCGAGGCCGTGACACCAGTTGAAGTAGTGTTGGTCGAGATGGTCACGCCAGTCGAGGTGGTGGCACCAGTTGAGCCACTGACATCAGTTGAAGCATCAGTCAGAGTTGTGGGAGCAGCTGTGGTGTCGGCCGAAGTGGTGTCAGTCGACGTAGTGATATCAGTCGACGTAGTGATATCAGTCGACGTAGTGATATCAGTCGGGGCTGCCGTGTCGGCAGAGGTGGTATCAATCGAAGCCGTGGTATCGGGTGAAGTCGATGTAGGAGCTGAGGTTCCGGTAGAAGTAAAGTCAGATGTCGTAGCCGTAGTCCTGAGCGTGGTGGATGCAGATGGCGAGCAGTCCAGAGTGGTGGTTATAGTTGCTGTTGCTGTGGCTGTGGCTGAAGATGTAGCCGTAGACGTGATGGTATATACCAGTGTCCAGGTGACAGTGCGCGGCCGATGACATCCCAAGAGTCTACAAAGATCAAAGTTATCCTCTTTGACGTCTTCTCGGGGTTGCAAATCAAGTGGGTTAGCAAACGTGAGACCCGTCAGGGCGACGAGTACGAAGATGGTGATCATGGTGTTTTGGAAGAAGGAAGAAGTGATTTGGTTTCCGTTGCCCTCCAAACTTGGATGTTTCGAGTGGGATAAAGGAATTAATTTATACGTCATCTTAACTGTAGCTATTCCTATCAGTTCCTATCAACCTGATCTGTCGGTATGCTGACCTCGTACAGGTCGGCGAGAGTCTAGCTGTTCGTCCAATTATAAGGCGGCAATGCCGATAACACAATGGACAGGGAAACTATTCTTAAACATTTGTTGCCATTCTCGTTTGAGACCGTTTCGGATTGGAGGCGATTTTTAGGAAACCTATCCCAAAATACAGAGTGAGACTGTGACATCAGCAAAGAGCTACGGAAACCTTGTTGTCTCGAAAAGGTAGCATTCGTCCGATAGGATTCAATATGGGTAACATCTCGAGGCCTTTGAGATAATTATGCTCGAGGGTCTTGTAGAGAGACGTTTCGATATATGGCGGGCAAAAGACTTGGTGCGTTTACGATCATTTACTTACATTACAACACGTACTGCCGCTTGAAGAGGCGGAACACTGCAGGCTTTTGCCGGCTTTCCCCAACTTGGTGTAGGTACATGGTTATCGCTGTAATTTTCTCGTTTACACGATTTCTCATGTTCATTGATCGTGCCTCGAACCAGAGTCTAACAGTAAACCAACCATCAGCCGTGCAACGCAAACAAGCGTTACCTATGCTCCAGCACAACCAAGTGGTTTTTGTGAAACGGTCTACAACGACGAATTTTCTCGGATCAGTTTTACCAGTCCTTCCATGAGAGACCTGACGGATGCTTCGCAAACCGAACGAATGTTTGACATGTTTGTGATCCGCTTGGGAGTTGGATGCTTGGAAGTTGGCCGACTTGCATTGGTTAGCTCGCGTGCGAAGAGCGAGCCTCTGACGGTTTTCACACTGTATGCTCCATCTGCCGCCAGGGCAGCCAGGGCCGCCAGACGGCCACGGAGGACAAAAAGCTCGTGCATGCGCATCCACACTGTGTGTCGCCTTGTTCCCCTTGGCAGCCAATTTTCGGCTACGACGAGCTTCGTCTGGTCGCTTCCCATCCCATCAGCCTCGTGGCCACATCTTTCAATTATCTCAATTCTTCGCAGTCGCCCCAACGACTGCGCGGCTCCCACCGACGACTGCTGCTGCAATCCACCCTCGTCAAACACCCTCGAATCCCTCGTTACACCTTGTCCCGAGCTGTCGCGAGGTCCATTCGCGACGTGCAGGCCATGGCACGACGATACTCGCCCCCCGACTCGCCTCTTTCATCAATGGGGTCCGGTTCCGAGGCCTATGAGGAGGATGGCCATGAAGAAGACGAGGCCTCCCTCCGCCCGTCCAAGCGACAAAGAGTCGACGCGCAATCCACCACGTCGTCTGCCGTTGTGCCAGAAGTCGAACACGACGCCGTGCCGGTTCCGGATACCCTCGAGGGCATGTCGGATGTATCCTCGGACACTTCAGGCGATATCCCCAGCTCACCCGTGAATGCACGACTCGAGGAAGACGACTTCCAGGACCAGGTGACTGTCTGCGACTGGGATGGCTGCCCCGCCGGCGACCAAGGCGACATGGACAAGTTGGTCGAGCACATCCACAACTCGCACATTGAGAATCGCCAGAAGAAGTACACGTGCGAGTGGAAGACGTGCAGCAGGAAGGGCCTTCCCCATGCCAGCGGGTATGCGCTTAAGGCACACATGCGCAGCCACACCCGGGAAAAGCCCTTCTATTGCTACTTGCCTGGTAGGACAGAATACACGCTGCTCCTACATTTGGAGAGGTTCAATGGCTAACATTGTGGTCCTAGAATGCGACCGCTCCTTCACCAGGTCCGATGCCCTGGCAAAGCACATGCGAACCGTCCACGAAACCGAGGCCCTGCGGCCTTCAGATCCGGTGCCAAAGTCTATGCAATCCGGCACTGCTGGCAAGTCAAACAAGCTCAAAATCATCATCAAAACGCCACAATCACACGGGGGTACCGGCGATGATGAAACGGGCGACGCCGTAAACGGGGACTCCGCCAACTCGGACTTCTTTACCGCCCTGCCCAGCGACCTGTTTTCGTCAGAGGAGCTCTCCTTCTCGGTGGACAAGCTGTATCGCAAATGCTACTGGGAGTCGAAATGGGCCGACGAGGTCGGCGAGGCGCTCAGAAAGGAATGCAAGGAGTGGGAAAAGGTATACTACAAGGAGTGGCTGGAGAAGGAAGTGCTGCTGTCACAGGTCATCAAGAGCGAGGTTGACTGGCACGACCGACGCAAGGCCATACTCGACGGCACCGCCGACGTTCAGGTCTCTGGCGTCGTGGGCTCCAAGGACAGCGAGAAAACCAACGGCAATGGCGTGGCCGTGCCCCCCAAGAAGGCCCAGGCTACAGAGGCATAGGTTGCATCGGGATGGTACAACAGTTGTTTCCCGTCCTAGTGTTTAATGGGATGGCATGGGCGCTTGACACGGAGAAGGTCGAAGGATGCATTAATTAGGACAGGAGTTGGGGAGTTGGGGGGGTTTGTGACTTTGGTATTGGTATGCCTTGGACGAGCGTTATTTCTCTTTTTTTGATATCTTTTTTCAATGGGATATATTCAAGCACTTGCCGTAGCCTAAATGCGCCAAGTGCAAAGCCAGTGCCCGAGTTGAATCCATGCATAGGGAACCACGGCCGTGGATGAATATATTCTACGCCGTGACAACCACGCAGACACATGGCTACTAGCATCACATCACGTATACCGCAGTTGTCCTCGGTCTGAAATACCCAGTCGCCAGCACCAAGTCGAACCAGCGGGCTGGTTTGAGTTTGCCGAGCACCACGGCAAACAAAAAAAAAAAAAAAAAAAGGTCCAGCCGCCGAGCAATCCCGTCCTCCGGCCGATGTCGCAAGCCGCCACAGCCAGCACTAAGACGACCAGTTGACCTTATTAGTTGGCGGGGTCTCAGCGGCGCCCGCACGTCCATTTCCAATCCCCGACTTTTTATTGCCCGACACTGCACCGACTGACATGATTACATGCGCAGAGTTGGTAGTAATTCCCGTTTGCCACTCGAGCTATTTCTCGTCTCTTAAACGATACCTCGAATCCGTCTACATTTCTTTGTCCTTTTTCCATTTGTTAGGCTTCCATTTTTCCTTTCCTTTCAGGAAGGTACTAATAAATTCACACTCTCAAATCGCAAACTCGCAAACTCGCCGCCCTTTTTCTTCTCAACTCCCCACATGACGCCGACGCAAACATGAGCGCCATTCTCTCAGTCGACGACCTAAACGACTTTATTTCCCCGGGCGTAGCGTGCATAAAGCCCATCGAGACGCTGCCGGCGGCTCCTCCGCCGCAAGGGCAGGGGCAGGAGCAGGATCCGGCGCTCCTCGAGACCGAGGTCATTCTCGACGGGCAACAACCGCGGGTCGGCGGCGGCGGCGTCGACGCTGCTTCCGCCGCACAGATATCGCTGACGGACTGTCTCGCGTGCTCGGGGTGCGTCACGTCCGCGGAGGCGGTGCTCGTCAGCCTGCAGAGCCACGCCGAGGTCCTGTCGACGCTGGACTCGGCCCCGGGGCTGAGCATCGTCGACGACGGTGCCGGGGGAGGCGGGCTCAGGGTGCAAGGGCTGGAGAATGAGAATGCCAGGCTGTTCGTGGCGAGCGTGAGCCCGCAGACGAGGGCGAACCTGGCGGCCGCCTGCGGCAAGGGCGTGTCCGAGGCACAGGCAGGACGCATGCTGGACAGGCTGCTGCGGAGCGAACGCTGGGGGTTGGCCGGCGGTGGGAGGTGGAGGAACGGCTTTACGTGGGTTGTTGATACCAACGTCGCCAGGGAGGCGGCCCTTGTCCTGGGCGCAGATGAGGTTCTCGGGCGCACGGCCAGGCCTGGGGGCAATGCGCCTGCGCAGCCGATACTGTCGTCTGTGTGTCCTGGGTGGGTGTGCTACGCGGAGAAGACGCATCCTCATGTTCTGCCGCACTTGTCGAGGGTCAAGTCCCCCCAGGCGCTGATGGGGACGATTCTCAAGACTACGCTGAGTAGGAAACTGGGCATCCCGCCGAGTAGGATATGGCACCTGGCGGTTATGCCGTGCTTCGATAAGAAACTCGAAGCCAGCCGGGAGGAGCTCACGGACGAGGTGTGGGCGGGATCAGGGCTTCCAGGACGAGGCGTAAGGGACGTGGATTGCGTCATCACAAGCAAGGAGGTTCTCATGCTTGCTGAATCAAGAGGGCTCAATTTCTTCGATATCCCGCGCGACAACGCCGGCGCCACTGGCTCTCTACTAGAACCTGCGGTGCCATTTCCCGACGCACGACTACACAGCTTCTTATTCCCCGCCCGAGCGTCCCCAAGAGTCCCACGCATGGCAGGTTCCTCGGGCGGCCTCCTCTATCATATCTTGCAGTGCAAAGCTGCACAAATACCTGGTGCTAAAATTCAAACGACGCGCGGTCGTAATGCGGATGTTGTAGAGTTTGCTGTGGCTGTCAATGGCGAGCCTGTGTTCAAAGCGGCACGCTACTATGGATTCAGAAATATTCAAAACTTGGTCCGGAGGCTGAAACCTGCCCGCCCGTCCCGAATGCCCGGCGGCAAACCATTTGGCAGCGCCCGACGACCGACAGGCAAGTCGGCGTCTCTCGAGTACAGCTACGTCGAGGTCATGGCGTGTCCAGGAGGTTGCACCAACGGTGGCGGCCAGCTCAAGGCTGATGATCTGGTGGCTCAGGGGAGCAAACAATATTCGGGCAAACCGGGTCCTCAGGAACAAAAGGAGTGGCTGGCGGAAGTCGACGAGGCGTATTTTTCAGGTGAAGAGGTGGTGGATGGTGCGGATACAGTAAATGGTAATGACGATGGTGTTCGGAGCAGCGAGGATGTCGTGGGTGGCATCTCTCGCTCGTATATACATGATACCCTGGCGTACTGGTGTGGGGTAACGGGCATTAGCATAGATAGACTTGCATTCACGACGTATCGCGAGGTCATAAGCGACGTCGGAAAGGGGACTGAAGCCGAAAAAGTGGTTCAGTTGGCTGGTAAAGTTGGCGGCGGGTGGTAGTCATCCTTGTCTCCCTCTCTTTCTGTAACGAAGAGAGAATCGAAAATATCAGGATGTTTTTGTCTCTCTTTTTGTCGAAGACATATGCCAAACATCAGCTCTCTTTCCCACCGCGACGTGCAAATCCAAATCCCCCCCGGCCAGTTCCGTCGGGTCCCCTCGGCATTCGAATAGCTGGCTGTGGCTGCGGTGCTTGAAATTGATACTGGTCATCCCTCAATGTCGTGCCTCTGCCTGATCCGCCGTCACTCTCCCCTCCTCCACGCCGCTGAGCCATCGCATCCGGTTTTGGCGAGAAGCTTGGGTCGTATAGCTCCCTACTTGACGAGGCTTGATTGTTGGCCCTCCTCATATCTGGCAGTCTCCCGCCGTCATTCGTAATACCACCATTATTTCGCTGCCCTCCCCCTCCCCCTCGTCCACGACCCCTCCCCGAATGTCTACTCTCCCCCCGGGGCGGCGTCACCGTCCCCGGGGATGATCCCCTACTTGACGGGTTCGACTCCCCAAAAATCTTGGCCCGCGCCTCGTCGTACCGCCTCTGCTTCTCCTCCAGGTCACGCTTCTGCTTGGCCCGGATCTCCTCGGCGGTGGGCTGGGGCTGTTTTGGGTCCCTTTCGCCGTCGTCGTCGTCCATTGAGAGCTGGGACATGCCCGTTGTGGCATCGCGTTTGGCAATCATGGGTTTGCGGCTAAGCACCTTGACTTGGGGCTTGAATGTGGACGTTAGGGGGACAGTGCTGCTGGCTTCGAGGTAGTGGAATGTCTGGGGAGTTGCGTCTCTGGATGGCAATGTTAGTGGGAGCAGGGGAAGAAGCGGCATGGCTGGGCTGGGGAAGGAGAGGGTGTTGCTACAGCAGACATACGCAGACTCCCACATCTTTCTATTCGCCTCTTCATGCTGCGTGATGCGCTCGGCTTTCGTCAAGGGCTGCGCGGCCTGGAGGGAAACACCGCCCTGCTGGTGGTTCTCGTCGTCTTCCACGGCCCCTCTGTCCGCCTGGGCTTCCCAATCGTCGTCCCAGGCATCCGGGACGCCGGACTTGTTCATTTTGAGCGGCGACTTCCTCGTCGTATGACGCCCAGTTCGATTGAGTGGATGAGTGGATGAGTGGATGAGTGGATGGGAATGGGGAGGTGCTGGCAGCAGCAACGATGGTGCATCCAGCAGAACAACCAGGCAGCGCCAATTCCCTCAGGACGGAAGCATCAAGGAGGACGGCAAAGAATGCTTTGCTTGCAAAAAGGCACAGCAGCCCGGTGGGGATGCAGACTTCGTCGTCGGAGGCATGAGAGGAGTATGGTGTCCACGGTTCCAAAAGTAGAGCCAAGCGAAACCGCGCTAATACTCCATGTCCGTCGCTGGCCAGAGTCTTTGTGCCCTAGGATGTCTGGTGGTGGGCCGACTGGTACTTGCGGCCCAGTGCCATTTTCGGTGCAGCAACCAAGTTCCCGCGGGAAGTCATGTCTGGTCTGGTCTGGTCGGAAAGGACTCGACACTTGACCACAAACGACGCCGCGCAGTGGGGTCAACTAGAGAGGGTGAGAGGGGCCCTCTGCGTCGTGGGGGCCGGATCGGGTTTCCTTTTGAGATATTCTTGATGCCTGGCATTTTTGAGCAGCGCAGGGACTGTGTCCAGATCCATCGTCTGCGATTCCGTTTCGTGTACTCCGTACATCTCCAACAGCACACAATCCCATAGCCCAAGCTCGCCAACCGTCACACCAACTGTCCCCTTCCGCCTCGACGACTTGTCAGGCGCGATTCCCATGGCTGGCGTGCCCGTGTCCTCTCACTCCCAGCCTCAATATGAGGTGGCCGAACCAGTCACGCCTGTTGGGAACAGTTCCAGGAAAAAGGATGAATACGAAAAGGCCATGGCTAGATTGTCAGACCAGGCATTCCGCTCACGTTAGTCCCAGTCGTACTAGTCCATGAGTGTTGAGCTCGTCACGTAAACCTGTGTCGAGGAATTATCACACGCCCACGGATGGAATTGGCCTTGCTGACTAGACTACATTTATAGAAAAGTATCCTGATCCCTTGGTAGTCCGCCAAGGTGTCGATCCACAGCTCTATCCGCAAGGCGTGACGCTGGACATGGAGAGGACATGGCTGGCGAGGATGAAGGCTGTCAAGGACCGAAGTGGCTAGGAAGTTTCGCAGTTGTTTGTTTGACGGTATCCTTGATTCATTTTGTTCATGCCTCATCTGTATGCTTCGCATACTCTCCTGCTCCGTGCAGCGATGATATTAGTGTAAGACTGTAACGAATAGCGAAACTGGGCATGGATGTTCTTTGTCCCTTGGCCCCTGAGATATTCCTGGATTAGGTGAATGCGTAGATGGTATAATGCAAGGCATTTTGCTGTCCTACGCTGCGGTGCAACGTTGTTCAGCTCGCGGCGCGAAATGCCGTTTAAAAGAAAATAAAACAAAGCAAAAGAATTTTTAAGAATACTACACTTTGTATCGTGCTTCTTCTCCGGATGAGCCTTTACTCGCTGGTTTCTCGTATTCCTTACTCCATGGATCCCTCATACATCTTCATATAAACGAAACTTATCCAGAAGTCGAACAGGAAGTCCGTCTCATTGACACATCCAGCGAACCCGCGATCAAACTGCGCTGCATGATCACGCCAGCATCTGTAAAAGAATGCCGCCCACAACAGCTAAACTTCCATCCAAGTATTCCCAGGTATTCATCAGACGACATGGCCAACGGAAATATATCTCTGGGGGAGTAACTACGGAATATCGGATTGCCCTCAGCTGTTGAAGCCGCATAAGTAATAATAGTGTCTCCGGCCACCAATAAGAAGCCGGCCGTGTGGCTCAATGGCAGAGCGTCTGACTACGATCAAGGAGTATCTAGCGATATTCGTGTGTGTGATCAGAAGGTCGCAGGTTCGACCCCTGTCTCGGTCAATTCATCTCCCTAGATAATAGGAAGTCTGGGGAATGCAAGTGATGTTTATATTCTCTTTTTTGTCATTCGGCATTCTCAGTCAAGGCACTCTGTACTTGTCTTTTGCTTTATGCGCACTCTATTGATTCTTCAAATTACCTACCTATATAGAAGCTACTTGTGCTCCTAAGCGGAGAGAATATTCTTGAGAGACAGCCGCCTTGATTGTATAGCACTCCAGTATGTACTGGAGTCTGGTGTGATACTAGTGGAATCCTAGGAACGCAAAACTTTTTTTTGCTTCGGGCGTAAGCGCTCCATATTTTCTCCGCTCAACGGAGTAACTACTACCAGCCCCACAGGTATCGATTGATTAAGTACATATCAATTGATTGTACTCCGTACACTCGACACAACTTCATGACAGCCGCGTATGGTAAACACCGAAAGTTCGGTTAGAATTGACTGACTTTTAAAATAAGACAGCACGTTTATAAGCTCTTCCTCTTTTCCAGTAAAACAAAAACACTTTCACGAAGCCTCTAGTGCGTCCCTAGTTAATTTTTCTCAGCATCATAGAGATGGTACCCGACTTTCACTTGTATAACCTGTGCTAGCAGCATCTCTAAACTCGAGACGTAGCGTTTATATAAGTCATAGCCGATCGCCGCGAGCGCGCAGCGATAAATAGAAAATATGCTCAACACCAATTATAAAGTCAAGACACAAGCCAGCAAGTAAGCTAGAGACCTCAATCGAGCCAAAGTTCTTGACTTGACAAGGCGCTCGACGGGGCTTAACCCATATCTCGTCCATGGCAAAAGTCGAATTTACCCTGCACAGGTGAAATTCTCAAAGTCGCGCCCCCGGCAATCCACGTATCAACGACGAGACAAACCGGGGAATAATTGGCATTTATTTAATTTAAACGCCAAGAGACACATACAAAAACACAAATTCTAAAGCCCAGAGAGCCCTGTACATGCTCCAAAAGCTGGGCTCGATTAAAGATCCGGGCTGTCAACCGCTCATGTCACTCACCTACAATCTTGCTCGCCAACTTAACAAAACTGCTGTGGGGAAAGGATTGCAGCCTTGCAAGATGAACAGACAAGTACCTCGTAGTTAAACTGCCATGTAGCCACTAGTACTAGTTACTAGGTACATATGCATATCATGACGGACCCTATAGATTGCAAGAACTTATTTTAAAGCAATTTACATAACCCACTAGTATGGGTAGACGCCACAACTACAGGACTATTAATCCCAAGAATTGGATCCAAGATGAAGAATCAGAAGTGTCTAGCATTTTCCAACACGTCTTATGCCATAAAGCCAAGACAGGGCGGTTTGCATAGGCTTTGGTACCCGTGTTTGAGGCACGCATGTGAGTAATGACTGTATCAGATCTCAGAGAGACAAATATCACGCATAAGAAGATTCAATGGAACGCAGCATGCCACCCCCATAACGTCATTTCATGCCATCAAAAGGCCAGATATACTATTATTGCTATACGCGTATAATGTATAAAGCCAATCTGATAGGACACTCGCGCATCATCATAACTACTAGTAGCGAATTTATTACACTGTAAAAGAGTCAATGTAGAGCATAGGACGGCTCCATTGTCGCTCGATTGTGGCTTCTGTTGGTCCATCTTTAACATTGACCCAAGATAGTCTAATCCGACATGTTCGCAAATACATCACTACTCTACCATTGAGCTACGCGGCATTGATCACGTGTACGGAGTAGAGGGGGACTTATTCTGCCCTCGAATGTGATGAGCCATACATAAGGCACTCCGTACGGAGTACAACCGTACTCTCTCGCCATGACGGCACGGCCGGGCAAAGTGGACAGATTCAATGTTTCTGATGACCCATGATTCCTCGAGCGACGGATATCCCTACCGCTCACAATGACATGTGTTTCAGTTGCGCACATCTGGTCTCGCTCCACAATGGCGATTCACTCATATGACGACCTTTGTCGCGGGAAAGGTACGGAGTATCGATGAAAGAGAGTGGGAATGCTGAGTCTCCATCGACTACAGTGCCGAGAGCTGTCCTCGGTGGTCTCGATTTTACATTATGACCCGTGAAACAAGCACACGCATCTTGCTCGCTTGCATGCCAGAAGTCGGATAGATTCTCCCGTGACTCGGGGAGACTGAAGTGCCGCAGCCGCCACCGATAAGCCAAAGCTCCATGGGAAGACGGTGGGATCGATGGATGATGATGGGGGACAAGCGCATCATCACACAGGCCAGTCTCGGCCCCTCTGTTGGCGAACTTCTAGGAGGCCTAAATGGCGCGACAGAGCCTGGTCTGGTTCAATGTTGATCATCAATTGATGTGCATTCCACGTTTGGGCGCCGCGAATGCTCCAAGACGCCAGTGCCAGGAACGCCTGTAAGGCTGCAACGCCTGTAAGGCTGCAACGCCTGTAAGGCTGCAACGCCTGTAGTGCCTCAACAGTTATGCCTCAACTGTAACGCCTGCAACGCCTTGCAACGCTTGCAACGCTCCAGTGGGGTTTGGGTGGACGAAGCGTCGATGGCGAAAAGGCGGGGTTGATGGATGGCTTGACTTCGATCGAGGATACCAGCAGCGACTGGGGCAATTGCAGTTGAAAGACGAGCAGCTCGAGGTGGCAAAAACTTGCAGGCCTGGTTGGCCAGGGGGTGCATGTGCGGTGATAACAACAACGACAAGGCGCTGCACGGAGTAGTCTGGTAGTAGTACTCGGTAGGTCCCAAGGCAGGTCTCAAGTGAGGCTCTCGTGAGGTCGCAGGTCCTGGCGGGGGGAGAAGTCTGGTCGTAAAGATGACAAGTCTCACAAGCGTGGGTGGGATGCATGTGGAAAGACATGGCTGATCGACACCTGCGGCCCTGGCCAAGGATCAGCACCCTACTAGGTACTCAAGTATTCAAGACCTGGTGCAATTTGATGCCATGCATGCGCTGAAATGCAAACTCTGGCCACATGTGCAGCAAAGCTGGACAGTATCATGTCGTTCGCAGGTATCCAAATGCACCATTCTATCTTGTTTGCCTCCCCGGTGGCTTGTGAGATCAGATGCCAGACCAATCAAAGCAAATGGTGGACTGTTGGAGCAACATTGAAGCTATTTATACGAGCTGTAAGAATTGCAACCGTCGAATCCGGTAGCCTGGGCACCCAGGTAGGCTCCAGGAGCCCCGATATAGCTGCATAGTATTGACCTTTTTTGCGAACATTGTACTCCGTACCACGCGCTCTGGCGAAGCTTTGCAAAAAGACTCGGTGAGACCAGGCTGCGTATGTACGTATGTAACAATGTTCCAAGCTGACCAGTACCCATGACATCAGCCGTGAGCAGGCTCGACGTCCAAGACTCCAGCCCGGTGTTTGTGGCTTCAAGCACCGGACACCATTCCCTTGACTGGCTGGTGTTGGTCTGGTGTCGATTCTTTCTGGCATCTGGCTTTGCTTTGCTTTGCTTTGCTTTGCTGAGGTGGCATGCTTGATGGAGCGAATGACTCAGACGACGGCTGGCCATGATGATGGTCTCTACAACCACCGTTGACACAAGCTTTGCCAAAGCCAGCAAAGTTCAGAGTCCAGACAGGGTGGCTCCCGGTCGACGGTCCAGTTTCTCAAATGGTCACATCGTCATTGCCCCCCGGTTCCCCACGTAAAGACCAGTGGAGGAGCAGCACGAGACAAAAGCTGACGAGTTGAGGAGTCACCCGCACTCTGAGGCACTGGTATGGGGGAAATGGAGCCATGGAGCTCGATTGGAGACGATGCTTGGCCGCAGCTCCATGGTCAGATCCATCACCACGGCCATACTACCGAGTAGTATGTAAGCTCGAGTGACCGATTGACAGCCTCCATGTCCCTCCATGTCCCTCCATGTCCAGATGCCTTTGCCCCTCCCCTCACCCGAGCGCGAGGCTTTGCTCTGCGAAGTGTCTGGTGCATCCAGAGCCGAGACTGTACATAGTCTGGCAGGCCTTTTTTTTTCCACATTTTCGCCTTGTCCATTTCGCCTCGCCCCCCCCCAAAAAAAAGGGTCTCCATGTCCTGTCATGCCTCCTCCCCATGTCTTCCACGCTTCCCGTCCACTTGAGCAAAGCAACCTTCTCCGCTGCACCTACAACACACGACTTCATCTCGCGAATACTGAACCGTACATACGGCTCCAACACTGCTTCGAAAATCTCTCCAGCGACCGACCCGAACGCGTGGCG